TTTTTTTTTTTTTTTTTTTTTTTTTTTTTGGACAATATGACATACATACACACACGCCACGCACACTTATATGGTTTAAAGGTGGAGATGTTTAAAAACATTTGTTTCTTTGCAATTATCGTTTCAGTTATTGAAAAAATTTTTCAAGTATTTTTTTTTTTTTTTTTTTTTTATTACTGCTCAGAACCGAAAATGTTCTCTACGAAAATAAAAAATCGATTGAGTCAGACGCAAGTAATGCGTGCGGACTCATGACAAATGCATGATTTCATTAGTCATCGTGTAATTTATTATAAAATTAATCAAATCATGTTACTGCTTGATCCCAAGAAGATTGACTAAAGTTACTTTCAGTTTTGGTTTAATGCGTTCCCCGTAATTAATTCTTTCCATTGTAGGAAAATTTCGTTTTAATACGGAAATCTCAGGACCGCGCGATATATGCGAAGCTATTGAACGACTGGGCTTCCAGGCCCGTCTACTTATTGGCAAAGATAAGATGACACACAGCTATTTAGAGCATAAAGAAGAGATCCGAAAATGGCGTAATGCGTTCCTGATATCGTTAATGTTTGGCGGTCCGTGCATGTTTGCGATGATTTACTTTATGGTGGAAATGAGTGAGTTGGGACATGCGGCAATGTGTTGCATTGTTCCAGGTCTGTCAATGGAAAATTTAGTTATGTTCCTATTATCGACACCGGTGCAATTTTTTGGTGGCTGGCACTTTTACGTACAATCATACCGAGCTGTCAAACATGGCGCCACAAATATGGATGTTTTGATATCAATGGTTACCACCATATCTTATTTATATTCGGTATGTGTCGTCGTTGCCGCTGTACTAATGGAGCAAAACTCATCACCTTTGACTTTCTTTGATACACCGCCAATGTTGTTGATTTTTATTTCGTTGGGTAGATGGTTGGAACATATTGCCAAAGGGAAGACTTCGGAAGCCTTATCCAAACTGTTGTCTTTAAAGGCTGCCGAAGCCGTTTTAGTCGAAATCAATGAAGAATTTGAAATAATTTCGGAAAAAGTAATCTCAGTAGATTATGTGCAACGGGGTGATATTCTTAAAGTGATACCTGGAGCCAAAATACCTGTGGATGGTAAAGTTTTGTTTGGTCATTCTACTTGTGACGAGTCACTAATTACAGGCGAATCGATGCCAGTGGCTAAGCGTAAAGATTCTGTGGTAATTGGTGGATCCATTAATCAGAACGGTGTTCTATTGATATCGGCTACACACACGGGCGAGAACACTACCCTAGCGCAAATAGTACGTCTAGTAGAGGAGGCTCAAACCTCAAAAGCTCCGATACAGCAATTGGCTGATCGCATAGCCGGCTATTTTGTGCCATTTGTGGTTTTGATCTCGAGTGTGACCTTAATAGGCTGGATTATAGTCGGTTTCATTAATCCAAATTTAGTGCCCGTAGCCTCGGAACACAAAGAGCACATGGATACCAATACCATAGTGATAAGTTATGCTTTCAAGTGTGCTTTAAGCGTTTTAGCTATTGCCTGCCCCTGTGCTCTAGGATTGGCTACACCTACCGCAGTTATGGTCGCCACTGGCACTGGTGCCATTAACGGTGTTCTAGTTAAAGGTGCTACTGCTTTGGAAAACGCCCATAAGGTAATGCCGTATGAGAAAAATTTCCATAATAACTTCTATTTTATTTATATTTTATTCTTCTTAGGTTAAGACTGTGGTCTTTGATAAGACAGGAACTATAACGCACGGCACTCCTATGACCTCAAAGGTTATTATGTTCGTTAAACCTTCGATTTGCAGTTTAAGCAAAGCCCTTACTATCATCGGGGCTGCTGAAACTAATAGCGAACATCCAATTGCTTCGGCTATAGTACGCTTTTCCAAAGATATGCTTGGTCAAGAGATTTTAGGTAAAACCCATAATTTTCAAGCAGTACCGGGTTGTGGTATAAAAGTTTTGGTCTCCCATTATGAGCCTGCGCTAAAACAAGCCAGCCTTGCTGAGAAGATAGTTAACTTTGAAAATAGCTACCGCTCTCATGGTAATAATATTTCTATTGCACCGATTCAATTGGAAAGTGGGGTCTCCATCAGTGAACTAATACCCACGCAAACCGAAGCACAACGCATTTTAATGGCACAGCATCACCTGCAATTGCTGCATTTAGATGATCATATCTCACCCGAAATAAACGAGTCTTCAACAGAAAGTGCACCAAACGATGTTGGTACTGCTCCTGGGCTTAGTAGCGAAATCAGTGTTCTAATCGGCAATCGGGAGTGGATGTTACGTAACGCTATAAATGTTCCTGAAGAGATTAATATCGTAATGACACAAGAGGAGTCGAAAGGTCATACGGCAGTCTTGTGTGCTATGAATGATCAATTAATTTGCATGTTCGCCGTTTCCGACATGGTCAAAACCGAAGCTCATTTAGCTATATACACGTTAAAAAAAATGGGCATTGATGTCATACTGCTCACCGGCGATAATAAGAATACAGCGGCGAGCATAGCAAAAGAGGTAAGAAAATAACGATTTTTTTTTTTATTTCTGTAACTTACGACGAAAATGAATTGAAAACAAATTGAGTTTGGATGCGTTTTTTCAATAGATTAAAAAACTCTAGAGAACTTTAGTATTTAGTAATAGACAAATATGTTCTTCGGAAAAAATTGCGCATTCTGCTAAATGTGTTAAAAAACCATTACCTCATAAGCTAGCTATTTGATACAATGCGACGAGCAGCGCAGGCAACTATTGTAGAACAATATTTATAGTTTCGTGGTACCGCCAAACAAGGAATTATCTCATTGTTTATTTTTTTTAAGAAAACTCGTTTGCAAAAAGGAATATTTTTAAAGACTGTCGAAGATCGGAACAAATTGAACAATGAGAGCCGGTTCAAAAAAATACCTTACTTATATTAGAAATTTGAGTGCTTGCAGTGCCAGCTAAGTGATGCGTCATTTGTTTTTCTTATAGGTAGGCATTAATCGTGTGTTCGCTGAAGTTCTGCCTTCACATAAGGTGGCCAAAATTCAACGCATTCAAGGTTCAGGGAAGCGTGTTGCTATGGTCGGTGATGGAGTAAACGACAGTCCGGCATTAGCGCAAGCGGACGTTGGTATTGCTATAGCGGCTGGCACAGATGTTGCCGCCGAAGCTGCGGATGTAGTGCTCATGCGCAACGATCTGCTTGATGTAGTAGCCTGTTTAGATCTTTCACGCCGCACCGTACGACGTATACGTTACAACTTTTTATTTGCTAGCATGTATAACCTCTTGGGTATACCTTTGGCTTCAGGTATATTCGCCCCTTTTGGCTTCACCTTACAACCGTGGATGGCCTCGGTCGCCATGGCAGCCAGTTCTGTGTCCGTAGTATGCTCTTCCCTTATGCTAAAATTCTACACTAAACCTACAATAACTTCCTTGCACAACGACGATTATATGGATTATGTGGCTGCCGCCAAATGCAAAGAACCCGATCAGCTATCTCTTCATCGTGGACTAGAGGATTTGCCGAAACGCCGCTCCAGCAATTCCTTATTATCTAGATTGCTGACTTTGCATACAGGCAGTGTAAAAATGGAACCCAACGAAGACAGTTTATTGGCATCGATAGATACAGAACGTCATGATTTTCCCACACCAAAAATTATTAAAAGCAAAAAAAATTTCCAAGATGTAACAGAACTGCAAAAACTATAGGCCCAGTAACGCAAGCAAAACTTATACCCGTTCTTTTAATGTTAGAGGAGGACGTATCGATTAGAGAGAATTAAAATTTGTTAAATCTTTTTTTATCGTAATTGTTTATGGTAAACATTAAGAAAATATTTTTCACAGCTACTTCTTAAGAAACTTAAAAAAATTGTTGTTTTTAAAAAAAGACGAGTATAAAAAATTATTACAAAATTTTACCAAATTTAAGTTAAAAAAAAATTAATAAATCTAATAAGATTAACACTGTAAAAATAAAGAAATATGTAATTATATTTGTTAATTAGTTATTTAAAAAAAAAAAAAAGTATATATACTATATATATATATAAATAAATTTTTATACAAACATTTAATAAAAAAAGGATCCCATTACAGCCCGTTTTTATAATTATCGTAAATGAATAAAAAAACAAATATGTCGTTTTTGTATATATCTTTGCTATCTTTTCATAATTAACAGAAAATTTGATTTTCTTATCTTCATCGCCAGCTACTTGAAACATTTCAATTTCGATACAACAACTGTAGCAAGATCGATCCAATGTTCATTTATTTACCGATACAATGTTCGATACATTTTTCATTTGTTTATTAACAAGCGTCTTCTTATTGTTTATTCTTCTTCTTCTTCTTGTTTTTTATTTTATGAGCAGGTCTTTAAAAATTTTATCTAACAATCGAGTTGATTGCGCTACAACCATAAAAGGAGCTTACGGCAGTTCATTGATTTTTCAGTAAGCGACATAAGCGTTCTATGTGATTCCATTTTCACTGTGTCAGTTAGATACACAAGAAGCTCGAATATCTTAATGCAATCCCCGTTAAATTATTGCACTTTCTTTTTCTACACTTTTATCTAACAATCCAGTTCATTGCGCTACAATCATAAAAGCAGCTTACGGCAGTTCATTGATTCTTTTACACTTATTTTTTTAAAATATTTATGACAGCTTCTTATCTAATTCTATCTTAATTTCGTGGAATTTAAGCTCCAGCATGACGTGAATTAGATAATTTATTAAGGACCAGTTTATCATTATTATTATTATTATTATTTATGTGAGAAATCCATACCGCGACCTAAAAAAATTAAAAAATCTATTGTACTCGCCCGTGCCCCTGGCACTCCAGTTTAAGGATTCTAATGAATCCTGTCACCCGCTTTGGCTCGGAGCGACATACCGCGTCCGGCATTATAACATGCTTACCAAACACGTGATTTCTGATTCCGCAGATGTTCTCACATTCCCACAGAATGTAATGGTACGTCTCATTTGTTCCTTGGACGAATCTGCATGAATCAGTACTGAACATACTCTGCACTGTTGCGGAGATGTGAAGACGGATTTATGTTTTCGGAGAGTAGAAAATGGGAAACTTCGCATTTCACATATTTCATGACACCGTACCGGCCACAATGTCGAACCGTATATGTATCTGGTGGTGACCGAAAAAAAAGGAAAATAACTAAACTTTTATACGCTATAATACTGGGTGGGTGCGGCTAAGAGAACAAGCGAAAAACAGAGAAAATAAAAGTATTCGCAGGTTTTTTTGCTGCATAGGCGTGTGAGCATTAGAGGCATATCCTTTGACCGGTTTAGGTCATTTTCAAATTCTTTTGCAAACCTGTATGCGATACCATCATTTTTGTGGCCAGGAGAACGTTTGGAACAGACATTACGCGGATGGATAGACGGGCATGTTAATAATGGATTCAGAAATTGATGCTGATCAAGAATATATATATGTATAGGTGGGGTCCCTAAAGTTTCCTTCTAGGCAAAAAGTAAAGCAAATATATTTCAAATTTTTCTTAGACGTAGGCAGACAATTATCAGAATAATTTCATAAGGCGTGAGGAAATATGCTGAAATTCCGAAAGGTGTGATTCTTCTACATACGCTGCATTTTTGGGGAGACATATAAAGTATAGGAACATAAATGAAGGAAAATTATATTTGAGTTTACGAAAAGCTATTGATTATAAAAAACTCACACAAGGTGTATGCAAGGAATACCAGAAGCGAAAGTACGTGAAGCGAAAGTTGTTTGTGACACGTTTAGATTTTCAAGACACTTCGAATCAAAGTGAACAATTTTCGTTTCTAAGCCTGAAGTGCTCTATGCTTTGTGCTCACTAAAATGTTCCCTTTATCCCGGCCCTAATGATATACGGATGTGTATTCTTCGTTTTTGTGCAAGGATAACACGTGCACTCTTAACCCGTATTTTCAGTGCACAAACCAGTGGCTGCGTTAGTAAGAGATTACTTAAACAAACTGTCATGAGTTGCATTGCATTTGCCCGGGAGTCCTTTTTAAGGTTTGCGTTACATGGGTTAGCTTGTAATAAACAGTTTGCGATATGTTTAGTCGAAACGCGCGCATATTAACAATTGCTATTCAATTCTTGGATATTATCTTTATATCCGACCCCACTTGTGATACAAGGTAATATTAAGTTTGCGCGGATGTATGCAGCACTCAAAAGGACTTGGTAAAGACGCATCTTTCTTAATCAATTTAGGGTTGTCTGCCCTTTCGCGTGTTCAACCTACACGTCATAATTTTTTATGAAATTTATTGCAATGACATGTTCTGGTCCAAGAATGAACGCTATTGAAACGTTCCGGACCACTTTTTTGAACGCTTCTCGTATAACCCTCTTTTTTCTTTTAAATTTTCTTTTGTTATTAGCGTTCGGATTAGTCACGGTTTCGATACGGCTCTCGTTTGGTTTGCTGATTGCAATTAAATTTATATGAAATAAATATGAAGAGCGGCGTCTGTGTTCAATTCCCTATTCGATGGAGCATACTTACGATAATTGCGATTGGCGCGTGGCCACAGTGAAGGCAAACACATACCTGATTGGGCGTGTATCTCTTAAGCAACGTTCATAGCCTATGGCTCTTCCCCCACTTCTCTCTCTCTCTCTCTCTCGACTTGGCGCATTCAAGCCTACCACTCGAACCGTTGACGGCTCAACGCTTAATAAATTATTACAAATTAAACATTTGTAAAAAAGATTAGCGTCATGTATTTTTACAATTTATTTCAAATTTTTATCTTTCATTCATTATTAATATATATATATATATATATATATATCTATATATATATATTTTTTTTTTTATTTTTTATTTTTTATTTTTTGTTCTTTCAATTTATATCCGTCAGTAAAGATTTATTAAATAATTAATTGTAGTTTTTTAAAGTTTCTTTTTCGAGCAAATTACACGACTTCAAGAAAATAATGAATGAATTAAATTTAGATGATGATTCTTGTGATTGTTTAAAAATTGGGCATTTAAATAATAAAAAACATCTCCCTTTTCAATTGCACGTCAACTCACATCCATCTACGATCACACAAGTCACGATAGAGTTTTTTATATTTTTCGATATTCAAACAAAGTTCAACAATCTTCAATGATATCGATCCGAGGCGTGATTGCACGATTATTTTGTTCGTTTGGATCAATGATCGGAGTATCCAGTTTGGTTTTCGTTATCGGGTAGACATGTAAGTTCTCCTTGAAATCGGTTATGTCCACAATAGTGGTGGCATCGCCCTCTTTGGGTATAAATCTCAACTCTAAGCTATCTGCCAACGTATTAAACAATTCTTCATCAGCTGATTTATTGTCTTCTTCTATATATTGTTCGGATGGTGCGTCAGTTTTAATATGATTTGTATTACCTATAACCTGGATGGATAGTTTGCGTAGATTAGTGCGTTCATTATTTAAACAGAAATCAATTATCTCCTGTTTGGTAAGCGTACGTAGAGCTTCGACTTCTTTGCGTCGGCGATCGAAGAGATAATCTTCACAGGTTATTTCACCCCAATTACGTGCGACTTCTTCATTCAGCGACATATCGACAACTTGTTTGATTTTCATTAGCGATTCGTGAACTTGATCAAATTCCTCTTGAGGCATTTCATCCAATATTTGCAGCATTTTCGTGCGGAACGCTTCAATTCGTTCGTCTACATGTGAGGCGGTATGCTTAGTTTCTTGGGAATTGACCGTAATCGAATAACTAGCTATACCATAATTTATACGCACCGACGATGACACATAATAGCCCAGTTGTTCTTTAGTTCTTAAATTATCAAATAGCGGCTCTTCCACGAACATCATTAATAGATCCAATATACTCTCGATACGCACGGAACACGGACCGATTTGATAAAAATTCGTTACCACCGTATTAATATCTTTAGTGTTCAAGGCATGACAGCGTATATAATGACTGCCCTGCGGTAATTGCACCGTACGATTCTCAATATATTTAGTTTCTTTAATGTTACAGCAGTTTAACGTTGTCAATACAGAATTCATAACATTGTGCGCCGATTCTTCGATCAAATTACCCTGCATTAGGGCCTGGATATACAACTCGTGTGTATATTTTTTCGAAAATTCCAACACTTCATCCAGAGAGATGCTGTCGATACACTTGTACTTATCAATTATAGGAAAACGTATATTCTCAATAATACTAAGCCGTATGTCTCTGTAAAAGAACAAAAATCAAATTGTATTATTATTAGTGTAATGGATAGGTGGTACAATTCTTAATCTTAGCGTTAAACTTCATTCTTTCGTAGCAAAAGAGAGTTTAAATCTTAAAAATAGCTAATTAATTTTATATATTTTTTTAAGAGTTCGTCTTCTATTGTTCACTCTTAAATTTCGTTCAATGCTTTGGTTTATTTATTTTTACTTGGGATTTGGTGGACACTGAATATGCCCATGGCAAAAAAAAACCCAAGAAGCCATGACGGTATTCCCAATTTTATTTTTCGTAAAAGGATCTCTCGTTATACTCACTTATTTAAAGTTTTCGGTTTAATAAGAGCATTAAAATAGAGTTTCTTTTGCTGCTTTTTAAATACATCGAATTGTTTTTTAGTTATATGTTCACCCATAGACACCATGGCTTTTGTAATAATATCAACCAATAAGTGAAGCTTTTCATTAAAACCGTTAACCTAGAACAATGAATATGGCAATAAGTAAAAGCAAAAGAATATTAAAAAAATTCTTTAAGACTTATTTATACCTTTAAAACGACACCCTTTTCCGCATTATAAAATTGGTAACTTAAACCAGCCACTGTAGCCGGATAGAGTTCCTCCGCTAAACGATATTTTACTAAAGATGCATACAAAGTGCATATAACATCACTGCAAAAAATTTGAATAAAATTTTGAATATTTGAAAAAGTCAAAAATCTTACTTTTTGACGCATTGCCTGATCAGCGGTGATATAAAATAAAAATACATATAGGCATCAGGCAATTCGAATTTATCGTCTTGTCTGAACCACAATTCACAAATATCAGTTTGCAATATTTGCTTAGGTGCCATTGGGATATCAGGTTTACCTTCGTCATGCCAAAATATATGAAAATCATTCGTTATAAAACGATTACGTTTGGGTAAAAATAATTCAGGCATCGGCTCCGAATACATCCATAGATTTACCCATTTTTCAGGCATTTTAATAGTAGTGTACTCGGTACCAAACCATTTCTCCTTCTTATCATAAGTAATGCCATCGTACTTCTGTTGTGATGTTATCATTATGTTGAAGGTGAATTCATTTAAAAGTTTTATAATGTTCTGTATATGTTCTTCGTTGTACTCAAAGTAAAGTTCGTTGCCAGTTAAAATATCTTTAGGTGGATAATATTTACTGCATATTACCAAATTTTGTACATTATCAAATGCAGCTTTTTGTGAGGCAAAACGGAAAGAGTTCGCTTCAATATTTTGCAATTCTTCGTAAGTATCTTTAAGAGAACCGCACTGGGAGAAAAGTTTAATGAAAGCGAAAGTGGCAGCCAAGACCTAAACAAAGAAAAGTGCTAATTTAAAATAATATATCTATAATGTATGCAATAAAAATGTTTACATCTTCTAAATGGTGAAAACCAGTATCAGTTAAGTAAATGCATAAATTGAACAGTGAGTACATGGAATTGTTATCAAATCCCGAATCGTCAACGCCAGCTATCATTTCCAAGGCCCATAAACTAAAATTAGCACAGTATTATGATTTATTTAATTAAATACTTTTATGATACTAACTTTTTTCGTAAATAAGAACACAAGCTGCCCTCTCCTTCATAGCCCATCAAGTACGCAAGAAAGTGATCAGGTTTGTATCGATACAAACCCGTCACGGGGGGTAATACCCAAGTCAATTCCAACTTACATACATTTTCAACAGGTTTCACAAAAAACACATCCGTATGAAAGTCAGCGTTAAAAGCGTCACGATAATTGTACACACTAAAGTCTTTGCCGGGCAAATTATTTGAGGGTACATCCGAGAAATGTTTCACAACCAAATTTTCCATTTCGTCTATCGGCAAACGAGCCTGTATACACAGATACATGCGATGGGCGCTATAGTGTCGTTCACGAAATTCGTGTAGCGTTTTATGCAATTCGTCTTCATCAACCTCTTCTTTTAACGATTTTAGATTACCCCAAGTGAAAGTATTATGCGGAAAATTTTTGTTAGCTAAACTAGCTAGTAATTGATCACGTCTAGCCTCGTCATCATGGAGAGTTTGTTGAAATTCCGATTCAACAGAATTCCTCTCACGGGTCATGGCTTCTTTTAACATTAAAGGATTTTTCAACAGAGCAGTAAAGTAATCCAAGCTGCTATCCAAATATTTCTCGGCAACCTCAAAGTAATAGAGTGTTTCCTCGCATTCCGTATTGGCGTTATCGAAACCTCCACATTTTTTAATATAAGCGTCAAAAGCGTTTTCGGTTGGGTATTTCTTTGAGCCCATGAATATCATGTGTTCTAAGAAATGAGCCAAACCTTGATATTGGGGTGGTTCAGAAAATGAACCCACATCCACTAATAAAGCTACGGCTGCTAATTTTTCATCACCTGCCGAAGGAATAGATCAAATGTAACATGAAACGTAAGCACTTCAGCGTCAATAAATTACCTTCAGAATCATCTGAATCAGTGTCGGCAGAGTCGGTACCTGAGCAATCAGTGTCCTCACCCTCGTCGCTTGTGCTAGACTCTTCTGCACACGAATCGCCCGTAGAGTCGTACGAGGACGACGTGAAACCATCGTGTGGCACAGGGCTTGGATCAGATATTAACAAGACCTTTAAATCATTTGGCAAAACCAAAGTCCTGAAACAATGTAAAACATATTTTACACCAAATTACACACATACGCAATAAAAAGACAATTAATCGCTTTTACTCTTACTTGTATAATTTTTTGTCATTCTCAGATTTATCTGGTATATTCAAATATTTCACGCTTTCATCATCAATCACCATTTTTGCTATTCTCCTACAACCACAATAAGACAACGGGTAGTAATTTAATATATTACTGTTATGACTGTTAATAAATTGAAAATTAATCCGTTGTTGTTGATGCTGTTGAATGAAAATGCCGCTTTCGCCTTTAGTGCTGTTAAAGGCTCTAAAAGAGCTGTATTGTCTATAATTTCTAATATTCGCTGTTGTCCTTCTGATATTAATATTAATAAGATTAACACTTGCTTTAGAATTTTGCTTGAAATCTTGTAATTTGCAAAGACGATTATAAACCTTAACAGAATTTCTTTCAAATATTGATTGAAAAGTTCTTACAAAAAACATAAAGTGAAAAACTCTTTAACTTAATAAAACAAGAAATTCTTTTCCTTTTGCTTTATCTTTCTTTGAGGAAAAACAATGTTCATGCTTGTGCTTATAAGACAATTTGCTTACGTTGCAACCAATTCTTGGTTTAAATTAATAATTTAGTGATTCCGTCTGCTGTTTAACAAATATATTCTTTATTAATTTCTAATTTTTTGAGTAGAAAAAAAAAACTTTCTTTTTGACAAAATAACTATAAAGCAAAGTTGAGCGTGAAGTAAACAAGTTTTTTAACAATGTTCTAAGGAAAGAACTGTAATAATATATACGAATGAAAACAAAGAGAGCAGAAACACGTGTTCTTACGCCGATACGCATTTACTTGTACTTGTACTAAGCGTTTGACTCTTTAGCAGATATGCTATTTTGATGTAAGTCTTACAGGTAAATTGTGCACACTTTTTTACTTAAACAATAAAAAAGAACTGTAACTTCTCCAGCCTCTCTAAGAAAATGTTAAATGCAATTAGAATGGTCATTTCTCCTAATGTACATGTATGTAAAAAAGATCATAAGATTTTATTTTGCATTTTAGCAGAGTAGTATTTGTTTAAAATCCCTTTTTTTACATAAATACCTGGACCATTCATTTAAATTAATTTATTTAAGAATTTGATGGTAGAAAATTTGGTGCTCTGCATATTAGTAATTGAATGTCTTCGTTTCAAGTACTTGTTGACAATAAACCTTACTTCACGATATAACACTTCCCTAAATTCTTAATGTATACTATTGTCGGAAACCATAAACAAACAAACAATACCATATCAAATTTATGTTAGTTTAATGTAGTCATTCAACTAATTTGGGTAAAGACATATTTGATTATTGGTCAAAACTTAGAGGCCAAGTGATCATTTTATTGATAAATTGTGGTGGTTATGGATAAGTTTGGTGCTTAACAACACGGTTATCCTAGCTAAAAATAGCTATTTACAATTTTATCATAAACAATTGGGTTGCTACGCTGCGTACGCACTTGTTTCGAAACAATGGCAAATGGAACAAATTAGGACACCAACTGTTATACTTATATTGTTATACAATAGTCAAGTAGAACAAATGATGGATAGGAACTGTTTTTCTTTTTGTTTTAAACGTAATGTGTAATTATAATTTTTGATGTATAGCTTGCATAATAAGCGGTCGATCTGATCGAAACGAGTTAAAAATCTTGATGCTTGGTGATCATTTTTATTATTTTATCATACGAGTTTTTTTCTTAGTTTTCAGGATGATGTTATTAGTAAAAGATACATTATCAATAATCTCGTCTCTATAAACGATGGCGACATTTCTCATTTTATTAGAATTTATCTAACATACAAAAATTATTCCAAGACATTCCTCTATTTTTGAATTCTTCTATGTGAAACTCACATTTTTAATTATTTTTGTTCTTCTAGAAGCACAAAAAAAGTAATATAGATCTGGAAATTGGGAATTAGTACTCAGAATAGCTATGATTCTTTTATCTTAAAATAAATACATCGTTATTATTGTAAGCCAAAGATATAAATTCCAAAAAGCTCTCAAAAGAAAATTCAATATTTTCCATATAACAAAAAATTATTAAATTGCCTGAATAAATTGCCCACATAACTAATATAATCATTTAATGTCTTCTTCTTTCTTTTTGTCTGTTTGTTTTCTTTTTATGTGTTTTTTCATATGTTTTATAAATTTTCTTTTTTCTTTTGTCTGCTTTCTACAATAACATGTTTTATGTTTTTTATTTACATATTTGTCTTTATGCCTAAACTAACTTCTTGGAAGCAGAATTTTATTTGCATTCCCTTACTGGAGATATAAGCCTGCAAGTAAACGGTCTCAAACGTCTACAGTATACCAATGGCAAAGAAACAACTTTCTTTACTGTGAACACTATATAGAGTCCGACAAGAACGCTATTAGTTTTCCAATATGAAATTTATATATATGTTTCTATTGGATTTATCATTTGAATTCTATATTAGAGTTTTACAAAAAGACTACTTTTGTTTTGGGAGTTCAGCTTACGAGTAGGATTTTATGTTCACAAATAAATGAGTGCAAGAAATTTTCCAGTCTGCTAATTCCATTACATTTTTTTTACTATGAAAATTTGATTAATTAGAAAAAATCCAAGTAGAACATCGTTGAATGAAATGTACACACTTACAGAGGGCTATGTAGAAGAATAAACATCAGTTAAAAGAAGAAATTTCCTGTTTGTTTCTTAAGCCGGGAACCAACAGCCAAATATCATAATTGACTTTTCCATCTTCCAAATTAACATAAATATTTACATATAATTACAATCTTTTACAATCTATTGCGCTACTCTAAATAAAAAGTTATTTTCTTATATCCTTTCAAATCGGTAGCGATTATCACATCAAATTAATATAACATCTATGGCTTCTTCAAATAAGTCAAAATAAAAGTGGTTGCAAATGGCAATAATTCATCTAATCAGCTGATTTATTACGGTACTTTGCGCTAAGTGTAACACCCAGAACGTACATTGAAGAGATGTAAATGAGTTAAGATGAACACAAGTGATGACATGAATGAAAAAAAAAAAACACTGAAAATCGGCAGAAATATACGTATTAGAAAATTTTGAAGAAACTGACAATGCAGAGAAGAAATTCTTAATGACTTCCATCTTCACCATAACATGCATCGTTGGTTTTTGTGCGTTTTTGCCAAGTATTAAAAGAGGCTTTGTTTTCAGTTTAATTGAGTATCTCCTCAATTTGATTGTAATATTAGGATTTATTTCGATGCCTCTCTATTTTATAAAATACCTGACTGAGGAGGTATTTTTCGTATATATAAAGTAATAAGAAAATTGTATTCGGCTGAGACCGAATTTTTTGTATCGCAGTCTTGTTGGCCATCGCTTAAAATAAAAAAAAATAAAAAAAAATTAAATTTCCATACTCGATAACATTAGGTGGGCCTGATTGACATTTTTATTTTATTATGAAAGCATACGTACCTTACATACCCAACAGAGTGAAAACAATATTCTGTAGCGTATTATATAACTACATAAATTTGATTGTTACTTAAAGTTCTGCAGTTATAATATGGAAATTCATACTACGTAAGTGATGAATACGGTCATGACACCAATTTACCACAGGAATTTTTCCATTTTTGAAGAACATATGCGAATTTCACTTGTTTTCTAATTTTTGCATTGAACGAAAGCCTCCTTTGAACGATTTTTCCTATTTTAAATACCAATCTCTATGCAAGAACTTCAAGGTTTCTGTCAAATTTGAAGCCGACATCATCCATTGCTCTCCACAGCACACTCTACACAAGTTTATACTGAAATTTCGATCTGGATGGGTCAAACATATTAATTAAATGAATATAGCGCCATCCTTCGATAGAGTGTGTCAAAAATAAAATGTACGGCATGGTTTAAATGGTTCTATGCGTGTACAAAAACCATTAAATAATCACCTCGAACCCCGATCGACATGTGATTTATATATTGTTTCCTATGTTTATCATATATCCATTAATCATCTTTCTAATGGCTGGACAAAATGCTCATTGCTCATTGCCTTATTGCCTTACAATATTGGAATATCCACTGGCAATAAGCGCATTCATTTCTCCCATCCTCTTCCAACGCATTTTCGATCCTTTGAGACGTCTTTCTTACTGTTCTTCTTGTAGATATAATATAGAAATTTATTGAAATTTTCCCTTAGAAGCTACAAACATGTGTTTGAAATTTCGCTTGGAAGAGATCCAATACTTTAATATTTAAACATGTTTTTATTTTCTAACATCAAAGTAAACCAATCTATGATAAGGAGAAAAACTAAATGAAACATATATACAATGCTTCTCAAAGGATTATAAAGCTTAATATATAATGGAAATTATATTTCCGCCACAGCACTGCAATCAGTTTGCCCGTAATTGGGTATTGGCATAATAAAATACGGTATTTCTTCTTCACTCAATAGCGAGTCTCGCGTTTGTTCATTTGTATGGTCCATTGAAGAGGTAGGGGAGTTGAACGAGGGAGAATTGTTTGATAAGATATTTGTTTTGGGTTTGCTGTTCAAGTGATTTAAACGAAATGCTGCGAGCTCCAATTTATTGTTGACACTGCGCGAACTGTCTTGTTCGTTCTTGCTGCAATACTAGTAAAATTTATATAGATTATTATCATTTATGCGAAAAAAGACTACAACGACATTGTTACAATTTCAACGAAAATATATAGAACTATTATTCATTTGCATTTCTAACGCCGATGGCTACTGGCGGACCTCTTATCTGTCCACACACAAAACTATATATATAATATATATTAATCAACATTTTACTAAAATTCATCAGGTAGATGGGACTTCGATTCTTCGAACTTTTGAATTTACCAAGTTTTTCTTCTTTTTTCTCTTTTCCTTCAGTTTTTTAATTAGAAAGCGTGTGTTTCTTCTTATATTCTTATCTCTACTACTAACGCTTTCTCTTTTGTCTTTTTTTAAATAAAATTAAAAATATATGTTAATAATTTGCTATAAAAAATTAACGTTTGTGTGTCCGTTAATTTGAAAGCGAAAAACAAGGTTCAATTCTATCTATATATGTACGAAATACGAATAAAATGAATTTTACTTACTTTTGCTAAGCCGTTAACTATCATTTTCCTCATTTTTAAAGTTTTCTGATAAATTTCCAAATTATTTTTCATTTTCTCATTTAATACTGAAAGCACTGCCTGTAGATTCTCTTGCGCGCTTTGACATTTGTTGAATTCGTCCGATGTAATTAATCCACTATGCAAAGCAAAATATAAAGCGTTTTTTAGCGGCGGTTTGTCAAATGGACTTTGAGGCTTCACGGACTCCGATGTTTCATCGGGCGTTTTCGCTATGTCATCCATTTTACTAGACGACGTTGGCGTATTTTCATTATCATTTATTGATTCGTTGGCATCAATATTTCGAAACATAGGATCCTTCAGCTTAAGTTTCTATAATGAAATCATTTCAATATTGTATTTTTTTTCCTTCTTATTTATACTACAACTTACATAACGAACGCGCGCCGAAATCCGCTTACGCGCTCTTTTATTGTTTGCATACTTGATCCCGCCTTCTCGTTGACTATTATATAAATTAATGATGACATCGAAATCTTCATTATTTTGTATGGACGTCACATTCTTATAGTCCACCAATTTATTCCTTATGGCGTATTCAATAATCTCTGTAAAATTTGATTTTTTCTTTACTTGCTTCTTCTTCTTACTGCTCTGAGCAAACAGTTTCGCTGAACTTATTAACTGCGACGCTATCTCCTTCGAATTCGAATTCGCATTCGAATTCCAATTCGATTCTAACGATGCAATCTCTGAGCTATTTAATGAGACATTTTCTCGCTGGCTGGCAAATTGAAAATTACTCGAACTTATAGGATTGCTGGCATTTATTACTTGAAGCGATTCATTTCTGTTTTTCTCTACACTACTTTCGACAAGTGTTGGCCGCATTTTTTTATAGCACGAATTCTTTGTCAAAGCTGTGATTGTCTTCATTAGTAAATCTGGTGGAGGCTTTTGGTAAATTTTAGCTTTATGGCCATCGTTAAAGCTAAAATTCCCCTCAGACTTGTTGACATTAGTTAGGTTATTAGTAGCTGCTAATCTTTCCTCGTTTGATTTATTGGGACGAAAGACATTGGCCGAATCCAATGGTTTAACTTGACTTAAGCAACAAGTGGGTGAGTTCAAATTAGTCTTTGACAGGGATTTAGTGGAAAATGTAATCAAATTAGATCGCAAATTTGAACAAGTCGTCGGTTTAAATGTAATATTTGCTGAACGATTAGTGCTTCCCTTATATACGCTACTGCTGAGTTGTTCGTTTAGGTTTGCCCGAGCTTTTAGAGAATTCAGACGTTTCTGCGTTTCTATTTTTGATTGCGAAACGCTTTTACCTTTGTCGCTTTGTAATTGCCGTTCGGTAATTTTGGACGACTCTGAACACCTTGAAGTCTTAGCACTTTGATTACTGTTCAATGGTGAGATGAAATGACCCCTATTTTGGCTTTTTCCTTTCGTCGACGATCGCCGCTGTTTCTGTATTCTTTCGAACTGAGCCGTTTGACATTTTAAGGATTGAATTTCCGAATTCGTGGACTGTAAAGTGTCGATGGTGTTTTTCGCATATTCAAAATTAATTAAATTAATATTTGCTTGTTGTTGTTCTCCTCTTGCCCTACCGGTTTCCAACTTTGTTTTTAATTGCGTTAATTGGCCCTCGTCGTCTTTCGTGTAGTTATCTGCGTTACCTTCAAAGCGATCAGTTTCTTTAAACAGTACATTTATTGAGTCCGGTTTTCTAATTTTCAAGAGACCCTTAGAATCGATGGTATTCTCATTGCATTGCTTGTTTGCGATTTCCGGACTAATGGTGCGCTTTAATGGTTTTTTATAATTGTCAATTCGTTTCGGACTACACGCATTCGAGAATGATTCATCTTTCAATTGTGTTTTCAGATGATTGTAAACATTTTCAACTTCAACTTTCAGACTTCCTTCGTGTTGTGGGTTTGCCAACCCCTTTTCCACGTGTGCTAGTTTGAGAAAAGCGTTCGCTGATACCGGATGTTTGAAGTTTTTTGGTGCAAATGCGTAATTATGATCTTCTAAACACATGTTTTGCTTTAAATCCTCCGATGATTCAACGGCATCCGATACTTCTCTCTTCTGCATAGCCAAATTGTTTTCAATTTCTGCACGCAATAGTTTTTGAAACTGAAAACAATGCAAATTTCTATTTTAATAATAATTTTTATCTCTACAGAAATCTTGTCTTTGCTTCCCGCTCTTCATTTTCTACATAGCACAATCTCCCGTTTTAGTTCTCGTGCATAAAAGACTAAACAGTACACTCTTATGGAGTGCTCGAAGGATATCTACAAGCGTGCTAAAGACAAATCATAAAATTTGCAGACACTCATTCTTACATAAACTTAATTGAAACCAACTCGCATTAATCCCTTAAAAACACCCACTTCTACGATAGGAGCAGCGAGAACACCATGTCCGCCCCTGCTATGAATCATAGCACGCAAACTTTGAATGACTCCTTGTATAGAACATTAAATCAATGAGTGTAAGTAAGCTTGTAAGATATTTCATACCTTCAACCAATTTCCCACGCCTAGGTAAGCTAGGCTCGGGGAATAAATGAAAGCAATAGTAAAATTTGAATGTTAACGCTTGTGAAAATTATATTCTGTCGTGACCGAATCTTTTACACTCGTCACCGTTGTCCTGAAACCCCGTCAATATGAAAAAAACATTGAAGTTTGAGACACTGTAATATCGGATAGGCATGGTACAGGTATTACAGCAGTACTAAGAGAACGTACGTGCACGTTCAGTATACTTTTGGGCGTGGCAAACATTCTGACAAAATAAATATCCCCTGCGTTCTCCGGTGAGTATAGTGGGTATAAATATAGTGAGAAGGAAGGAAAAGATCATTAAAGAAAAGAAATAAAATGAATATGCATAACCTATGAACGGAATCTTTTCTTTTGCTGCGTTCAAAAATTCGATATGTACATAATTCTGTATTAGTTTTTAACGAAAGTTAAATTTCTTTATTATCTCGATATCGATATTCTTTATCGAGTGTCTTGAAACAAACAATTATAACGCCACCAGTGTGAAACCGAAAAAAGTGGCGAGAGTACTGGAAATCTATATTTAGAAAAATCTCGCAGATAATTTGAGACTCGTACATTTTCCCTAATGTGTCTTGCATATATATATAATTTTTGGATGTTTTTTAAAAAAGCGTTGCTTCATTCTGTCCATTTTAATACGGCTGTCCGGATATCGATGCATAACTTCCGCATTTATCAGCAAGAATCTTATACCCGATTTTCCGATATGCAACGCATGTGCGAACTGAAAAACAAACGCATATATGCGCACACATTTTGATACGGAATAAAGAATACACTCAATATGGGCAAAATTTTGTATGCGTATGTTTATTCACTTCTTGTCAGTTTCCCAGGCAAATGGGAAGGGCTTACATTTTCACTTATTTATTGGCGCAAGAAAAATACACCATTGCAATGGTTTCCAAAAAAAATAAGTACAGTAGTACTACTGTGTTTACGCTGATGTTTATAATTAATCACGTTTACGGTTATTTATATAACTATAAATTTAGCAATTTTCACACATGAGCACTAATACCCTTTCAATTTTGTAAATTCTGTTTGCTTGGAAAGCGAAAAAGACCGACTTGAGTTCGACTATGTCCTTATCCTCTTGGGTACACTTACATTTTCTTCAACGTATGGATTTGTCGGATTTGTTTTTTTGGCTGTCATCACATCATGAGCTTGAAGTTCAGATTCAGTTTTTATAAAATCCAATACCGCTAAAAGAGACTCATCGGTTTCTGTAATTTCGTCGTTATCATTATCGATGTTAATAAATTCCTTATCTTCCTCGGCATTGTCCAATTCTTTCACTCGTTGGGCTGTTACATTCATCATTCTGCAAATCTTCTTTGCAGCGAATATGAATTTAAACAATTAATTCATTAGCTTAGACATATATTATCAACTTCAAGAGCTTGGCTTTCTTTTCCTGATTAGATTGGTACGGTGTCCGTTTTGCATTTACATTTTGCTCGAATATTTTACAGCAATTCCGCAGAATATTGTGGAGGAACGTTGTAAACTTAAGCTTGACTTTAAATTGAATCGATTTAAATATTGCAAAAAAAATATTATTTTATAAAGTTAATCTCAGTTATCAGTAGAAATTAAGCAATAGAAAATAAAAGTAAAAACAAACGGAATGTAGAGGAATGGGTAAAATGACACAGAATTTTTTTTTAAGGAATGATTGAACGGTTGTTGCCAAAAGTAAAGGGCGAATTTATATATCACGCGCAAATATTCATTAGATATTAAGTATCTCGCTTTAGTCATTAAGTAGCCGACATCTCTCATATTATAATATGTAAAGACAGAGCAAATCAAAAATTATTATGGATATATTCGTTTTGACCCTGCTTCTTTTTATTTTTATAGCAGGTGTGTTCATTGAACATGTCATTCATGCCATTGGGGAATAATTTAGGGGTTGCCTCAATAAACTTAGAGAACTTAGATTTTTGTTCAAATTTTTTATATTTTTGTAATGCTTTTTGTAATGCTAGTACCGTGTGTGTTTGTTATTGCAAAATCCAAATTTTTGTTTACATTTGTCCTGTACGTTCTATTCTATTTTTTACAGCAAAGTAAATTTCACGCTTGGAAGGGAATTTCTAATCTCTGCATTTTTTGAGGGCATCCTTTTGTACATCAAAGTAAATTTTACTCTCAGAAATAGAATTTTGTTCTTAACGAGTTTAAAAGTGTGTTTGTATTCTAGCTACTATTGTGTTCATTACCGTATCTTAAACTTCGCTTATGTTTCCACAGGAAATATTTACTTTGTAAATTGTATAAATTTTATAACTGTATACGTGATATGTATATGGCGCATATAACTTAAATTTCATGGGGAGGGAAAGATGGGGTTATAAGCGAAGCTTTATAGTATCAGTCTCGTAAGGGGTATTTTATCAATTTCGTAGGTTTGTTAATTGCATATATATAAATATATGTATATAAATAATATCAAGTAAATAATATAAATTTATAAGTTAATTTCACCCCCAGGAATTTGTTTTCAGTCAAGGGGTGTCACACAACGAGGCCTCGACGCATATGTGACGTTAACTAGGTTTCATTTTCGAGTTTCAACTTTTTTAGCTATAAGGCAATGCACAAGAGGTGCGGCAAACGCTCTCCCAAAATTATCAAAACAAGGTAAGCAAAATTGCTCTCGTTTTGCAGTAGTATTGGTTGTTTACAGCTTGCTTAATTACACACAGCTGAACCAAAACGAAATTTTTAAATTTGCGAAAGCTAAGTAAATTAATTGTTTCCTTTTTTTGCCTTTTAGTTCAAGTGTCTAATTAACACTTTCTAATTGAATTGTAATAAAATAAAAGATATAAGGAATAAATCCGCTTGTGTGAAAATTAAAAAATTTGATTTTATTTTGATTTCCAAAAGCTGAATAAAAAGTTTCAGTTTAAAAAACTGTATGTTCTTTATGGGTAAATCCATATGTGAATCTATAAATATATAAAATAAGAAGATACAATTTAACGTACAATTTCGCAATGGAAATAACCAATAAACATAGAAAAATGAAAAATAAAAATTGTGTATAAACTTAATCTTCGCTGAAAACCCCTCTCAATTTACTCTCTAAGCCCATCCAAGATATCAAAGCTCAGGGCTTTTCCGAAACTTTTTTTTGAGATTTCATCATGGGATGAATACCTGCCAAAGAATAATTATTTTTATGATCATTGATGTAAAAAATGAAAATAAATTCATGCACTTACTTTCATTTCTTGCTTAGAACGTCATACGAAGGTTTCTAAACATATAGAAAATCAATGGTAAAATAAATCAACAATTTTAGATTACAATTATACTCACGGTTGAGTTTCACTTGCGGACGACTTTTCTTGCGGTACTAGCTGACAAAAAAGTCAAAAATATTATATATTTATAGTCAATATGACACAACAACCAATCTCAAATGCTGAAAACTTATTGGAATTTCAGGTAATTCCATGCCATATGATTCGCGCCGGTCCGGCAAACAATACAACGCTTTAGTTGCAATTTAAAATTTTTTTTCTTTTAAGATTACTTCGAATTGCCTTTCATTTTATTTCATCGACAATTTTGCATAATGTTGTCTTCATTTAAATTTCTATGATTTTGTTATTCATTGTATAATTGTGAACAAACAAACATTGCCCCTTTATTTACGATTATTTTCCCGAAATAAATTTCAGATGGCGGAACCTATATATAATCCTTAACGAAATGATTGTCAAGGTACACTGTCAGAATGAAGGCTAATTAAACTAAAAAGGGTGCATAATCAGTGCCTAGATTGTACAGCTTTGATCCTTTTTAATTAGACGCTGTTTACGTGTGATTACGCACAAGTTTGTTAAGCGCTTTAATTAATCATGAAGAGGGCATCCAACAGTCGTTCAAAGGTGATGCGACGTACATATTACGAATGTCGGAAACGTGCATAACGTGCGTAAAGTTCACTTACGCTGGCTAAGAAAATTCTGACTTAACTAAATTAAAAATATACAATTGAAAAAAAATTAATTTTATATATACTCAAGCATATAGATTTAATAAGTTTATTAAAAGCGACAGTAGCTAAATACAAGAGAAAAATTTCATAAATAAATGTTTAGGTACAAATTTTTTAATATTATAGAAAAAAAAGGAACAAATCATATAAAATCATTCATTAAAAGCAGAAAGAACAGGGCGGGTAAAAAATTGCAATTTTTTTGCAAATATTTTTTATGTATTATTTTGTACAATCCCTCGCTACAAAAAATTCTACACAATCTTACCTTTCGTATAGATTTTGCCTTTAATAACAATATAACGAGTTAGGCCAATTTTAAACGATTGACGACGTTAATGACGTCGATATTTTTTGATGAACAAAAACACTGTATATTTTATATATACTTTTATTAATAAGTAAAACAATTTTTCCAAATAAATATGTATGTATATATATATATATATGTTTATGTATATATATATTTACTAATTTACATTAACTGAAGATTTTATTCTTTAATATGATTAATAAAAAACAATATATACAAATTTATTCCGTTTGAAAATTTACAAAATGTTATCTTTTACATTTTTATTAATTATTTGAAATACATTAAAAAAATTTCGAGTAAACTTTATTTCTATAACATGAAGTAAAAATAAAAATACTTTATTGAATTTAATATTTTGTCTATCTATGCATAAAACCTCTCTTCTTCCGCTTTTTTCTTCGTTAACTTTATATACTACTTTTGTTTTTCATGCTTTTCTTTGCTACTGTATCAAGCACTGAAGCGATAAGCGATATCGATAGTTTGTATAAGCGAAAGAATATAAATTGCACAACCTAGCAGCGTTCCTCAATATGATCTAAAAGTAAAGTGCTAAAAAAAAAGTAGTAATTTGCGCTAAAGAATAGTACCGTCAATATGCTCCGTCTTTTTTGCAACCTTAGCTATGAAATAAAAATAAGAAATATGTAATTTGGAAAGCTATTAAAGAGGAGAGTAAAAAATTGTTTAATATAAAAATATCACAGCAGCAGTGTGAAATAGTATATCCTTATATATTTTATCCTTGCTAACGTATTTGTGAATTATTACAGAAAAATAAATTAATAAAGAAATAAATAAGGTCTTCATGAAAAAATGAGTATGAAAATCTCTACTTATAAAAAAGGTGTGCCTGCCAAGTGAACCTTATGCAAATTGGAAAATCATAGAAATGAAATTTCGTGAAAAGTGATAATCGGGAAAATAGAATCCAAATCTGCAATGCCTTTATATTTTTAATAAAATTTCTATATAATTAAATGAATTGTTCTCTATTGCGTGGAGAACCCTTGCGTGAACATGAAAGTTTCGTTTGATTGAAGCTAGTAAAACGTTTGTTGACCTTGTGGTACGTTTGCTTGTGTTTGCATGTTTATGAAGGTGCGTATTCTAAAAAAATTACAGTATTCCCAATTGCAACTTTTATGTGGAAGTTATAAGTAAAAAACAAACCATTTCTTGGTCTGAGGCAGAGAAATATGCAAATAATGACAAGGTGGTATTGCAATGGTTACTATGGAGTTTAAAAAGAAAAAAGAGTGAATCCAAAGGGAAGAGTGTGTTCTTAGAGAGGGAAATAAATGTATATATATATATACATATATATACATATATATATACACTTAACAGATGCTTTTATATATATGCCTATGTAAAGCATAACAAAAGAGTTAAATATAAACTGTCGCCTATGTCAATTGATTCCATTGATTCCATTATTGGTATTTGGACTAAATTGCAATGAGTGTGTTCAACGATTTTCAACGTTTATGGATGGAGCGCTTTCCTCAAAGTTCGCTGTCAGATGCATGGGAACAAGACGTACGTGCCAGCCTTGAACGCCATCGTTTGAAAATTGGCGAATTAAAAAAAGAACTTGAGCAAGAAACGTTATATGTCGAATATTTAGAACGTTTATTATCGGATGTCGAAAAATACCGTGAATCTGGTGGAAATCCAACATCTCTTTTCGAAGCTCCTACCAACCATAACAATCGCATTGTTCAAGAAAAGGAAGATGACACTCGCGATACACGGCATGGAAGTAATAGTAGTGGAGAACGGGTGCATGACAGAAATTCGGTAAATATATTATCTTTTTTTTTTCTTTAAATTCCATTTTTTTACCCCTCTTTTAATTATTTTGCACTATAGTTTAAATCTAATTTGGAGCTTTATTTTTTATAAATTCGAAATTTTTTTTTACCACTAAAGAAACGAGCGGTTCAATATATATTAAACGAATAAATTAAATTGACTATTCAAATCGCCAAGACAGCTCTCACTTGTTTATAAGCATGTACATTATGGTTTGTCCCACCTTCTAGTCGCTCATAATACACATACTTACTAGTTAAATAAAAAGTGATGAGCAAATCTAAAACAAATTTAAAGCATATATCTGTGTGAATATATATTTGTACATACAAAGGGTTTTCACCAAAGTTACGCTGCTGCTCCTCTCAGCCGTATATTCAGTTGTCTTGAGACCATATAAAGTCGTCAATTTTTACCAAATATTTGCCAAAAGTAGGCCGCAGTATTTATAATTCGTGATACGGCGTGCAAACGATATACTCAGGCCATCGCGGGCAACAGGCTGTGTATGGCTGCAAGATTCTCTATCAATATTCTGTAAAGATTATTCGCTAAGCTTGCCACGACTGAAGGTGAATGTTTGGTAAATAATTTCGAAAATTTATGAACGGTGTGTGTGCGTACATATGCTATTCCTTATTATACGCTTCTGTTCAATTTAGTGATGAGTGCGTGTAGGGATGCACCGGCCCGGGGGCCAGTGGTTTGATAGCGTTGATGTACATGCAAGCATTTAGTTTTTATCTTATCATTACAGCATTTTTTTTTTTTTTAAATACACAAACACAAATGCATTATAGTTGAAATGTTCATATATAACCTTCGTAAAAATAGGGTTGACTTGAGGAATATACTATGTTTATTTGGGGAAGTGTGCGTGAGCTCGCACTAACTTGACAACTTGAAAACAGCAACAACACGTTCTCTTCATTCTGCCTTCCTCCAGTAGCCTTTAATAAAGTTTTTATTAAAGCAATTTCGACATTATCTCGTAGCTAAAAAAATTTTATACAAAAAATCAATTTTTTTCTATAACCGAATAATAGTGCGATGTGCATTCAAAAAATATACCGAATAAATTGCGTTGTGCGTCTCTACTTGCTAGTCAATTTAACCTCTGTGCTTTGGGAAGATAGAATGTTTTAAAGGAAAACAAGAACACCTATTGAGGAATAACAAGCAGATTACGTTTTTGCAAAATTACGTAAAAGAGAGTTTTTTGCATAAAAAAGTAGATAAGAAAAAATAAAAAAAAAAAAAAAAAACAAAGAAAAGACAACAAAGGCGTGATCATAACCACCGGCCTGCAAATCGTCAGTAAAAAAATTGGCTTTACATTGCTTTCTTACCTGAACATAATATATATATATATATATATATATATTCATAAACTAACAAAGAGAAAAAAAAATAAAAATAATAATGAAACTATGAAACAGTAAACCAATCGATGATAACACGCGCAACTGTGAGAAAATCGGAGATTCATCTGTTTTAAAGCTGTTATGTCTTCATTAAAAGAAAAATTCAAATTGTGGCGCGGGGTAAAACAATAGTTCTTTACTAAAGTAATTTCTTGATGTATCTAAATAATGACTCATATCTTGCGATGATTTACTTATTAATCTTCGTATCTTTTAAAGCAAATTTTAAAACCAAAACTACAATCACTGGCTGATTAGTTACATTAAGAAATATAACTAATGTATATATATAAATAAGTCTCTGTACAAATTTTCCAAATGTAAGCGAGATAAAAAAAGCTTGCCAAGAAACTACTAGAATTGCTTCAAGATATCTCATCAGTTTAAGCCAGCCAAATATATTGCGAATCGAATTGAAATTCTCAGAATTCCGTTTTCCTTCGATTGCGTCAATATATTAGTTGCTAGCGCTTGCGAAGTTTTTATATTAACAGCGTTAGAGATATTTAAAAATATTTTTATAGAATTGAAAAAAAAAAAAGAAAAGACATAAAAGACATAAACATAATTTTCTAAAAAAAAAAAAAAACAGTTAACTCACAGTTAAAATATTATTAAGTATGTGGGAAAATAACGTCGTCTTTTTTTGAATTTCTTTGGCTATCAGTAAAGCACATTATTTGAAATAAGATTGACCACATTTAAATGGTGTCCCAAAATTTGCGCAAGATTTGAATTTGCCGCCATTTATGCGGAAAAGCGTTGCCAATACAAAAAATAAAAACAATTTGACAATTGACAGTTTGGAGTTAATAAAAATGGAGCGTTACACGAGAGAGTAACGGGATTAGTCAAAGATTGGTGGCCACATCCCGCAAATTTCGCGCAAAATATGGTCACCTTGATCGCTTCATTAATTGTCAGAACTGCCGCATTTTAGATTTAGAGAATCCAGATATGATTGTCGATAAACGAAGGCATTGATGTGAACGACGTCTGGTTTTAACTAAACGATGCCGTATGCCAATCCCAATAACTGTTCGTGCACTCTCTCGTTTCCATAATTACAATTGGTTGTCTAGATCATGTGACTTAATACCACTGGACGTCTTTTTATAGGGTTATAAGATTTTAAAGGGATGTCTCAATGACCGCACAACCACTCGAGCATTGAAGGAGGAGATTCGACGCCGTATCAACGACATTCATCCACATTTGTGTTAAATGGTCAATGGGAAATTTGGATAAAAGAGTGCGTATGTACCAGCAAACCCTATTCTACTTACATTCTGATCCAATAAAAAAAATGCAATTGAGAACAGAACGTCTCTTTTCCATTTACTGCAAATCTTGCCTAAATTTTTGGGGCAACCTATGTATATGACATTTTTCTCAACGGTAAACATCCTCTGTTTAATCCTATAGCATAGAGCTCTGATATTTTGCAATCGCGATCGCAGTCGAGACAAGTTCTTGCAAGCAATTTGCAGCAGCACCACCTTAAATTTTGAAAAATTTTTTTCTTGCGTGAAGTGATCGAGTTGCAGTAGGGAGTTTTGTCTTGCTTTTATACAATTGGGTTTGCGCAGACAGTTCCTTTATTTCTTACACCACACATTAGCCCAGCTGCGCTCAGCGACGCCGATTACGAAAACAATTCATATTTCATAACTTGTTACAATGCAATCCAAAGAATGCATCGGTATTATTGTGTAAAGAAAAATAATGTAAACTTCTTGGCGATTCGTGACTTTTTAGATTTTTCTAGTTTCCATAAAAGTTTAATACGAAACTAAATGTTATTACCTTTCCGGTACTAACTATCGGATTATTTTTAAACGATGAAAAGTAAACATATTTACATAAATTCTTTCAGTTAACACCAGAAATGTAAACATAGTCTCTGCTCATAACTAATTATTTAAAATATCCCAAAAACCTTGAAGATTTGTATATTAATTTCAGGTATTTATGGTTTTTCAGAAATCCAGCTTGAACTTGAGAGAGTCGAAAAGTGAAAATAAAGAACAGAATAATCGATTGTCATTGAATGCCGATAATAAATATACTCCCGATCAGTATAACATTGTAAGTAATGCTGCGAAGCATATAAAAAATGACAGTCCAACACGCATTGACGAGGCAATCAGCGATAAAGAAAAGCGTGATGTAGGTAAGGAAATAAATAGACTTAAAAATGATCAGACCGAGGCAGTGCATCAATGTATCAGCGAATTAGTAGCATGCATTGGAAGTGGCGATGAGCGTAAATTGAATGACACTACCGGTAATGATAGTACTAAATCTCTTAAATCTTCAACCTCACACTTTGTTACGGTTATTGAGGTTAAGGAAAGCAAAATAAATACCGATAAGGATGGCGGGACAAATGCTTTTGAATACTCGGATATTAGTGGCGGAAACACCGTGGTAGCCTCGTCTTCGTCAACCTTCAGCAGTTTTGATAAAAAGTCCACAGCAGTTGCACCGCCGCCATTATCACCATCACTAGCAATGTCAAGTTCTTCTCATGTAAACTTAATGGAAACCAAAAAGAAAATGCCACCTAGGTAAGAATTTTGTAATCCAATAACATATGTTAATTTCTTTATACATTATCTTATAACTTAATCATTTACAATGCTTAGACCACCACCGAAGAATATACGAAGAGTTGAACCTCCCACCATTCCCGGTTCTGCGTTGTCATGTTCCCCAAAATGTGATGCACCCATTACAGCTAGCGCTGATACCACTTACTCATCTTCAGAAAGTCCTTCCAATACATTAGATTATAATATAAAACCTTCAGATATATTGCGACATAAGTCATCTGAATCTTTGGAGGGTAAAAGTTTTTCAACTAATCGTAAAACTACACCAGAGTTAAATCGTTTCATCAGCAACACGGAATTTTTGGAAGAGCTCGGTCAGAAGATCAGCAAAGCTGAGACGTTAGACAAATCAAAACGAACTGAAATGAATTACACACAGAGCCCAACTGCAAGCCTTAATCGAACTGCTGCAGTGATGACGTCTGCCACAACAACCAATATTTCAAACCGTTCTATTACTCACGGCAGAAGTAGTGTAAGCTCAATGACCGGCGCTTCTCCGACCAGCAGTTTGACTAAGAGTGTCAAGCTAAGTACAATCGACAGTTCTTCCACGGGTAGTTTGGATAAGAAAACGCGACATTCCTTAAGGCCTGTTGAAGCCGATGTCTTGGGCGATAGTGGACAGAATGTTGGTTCTAAGGAATCTTTAGCTTCGCAGGGTATTTCCGAAATTGTAAGCATTCATTGTGCAGTAGTCTCGCTAAAATTAATATTTTGACATTTAAATTTTTTTTGGTTTATGTTTACTATATCGCCGTTTCAGATAAAAAGTTACGAATCTGTTTCTTCCCTAAGTTCAGACAGTGTCAGACTGCAACAACATGCAGATAGTGAAAATGATCACTTATATGATACGGTACCTCTGGACAATGCGGACGATGAATATGTGTACATAAAACCGGGTCATACTGGTTCATCTTCTAGTCGCGATGATCTATCAACTCCGGGCAATTTAAGTTCTAAAGCTCATTTGAATAGTCAAGCTAGCTTTACAGATCCAGAATCGCCCGGCCGTGGTTCGAATTATGTAAACATTGATTACTTTCTGCAGTAAGTTGTGTAGATGTGGCGTGTTTGCCATTTATAAATTGCTAATAAATCAATCGTTGTGTTTGCGTATCATAGGCAAAGCAATGAAACACGTTCAAGTTCGGTAGACAGTGATGGTGAATATGATGTTGGATTGCCAATTATGCGTACCATATCACATGACGATCATAGCTCTCAAACTCCAAGCGCAATAAGAAAGGTAAATTATCCATCTTTAAATTTTGAGATATGTTGCTATCCATCTTCATGGGCAAATGCCCGATTGGTTATTACACAATTTTCCTATTAACTTATTTAGAACTCATAGCATTTGTTCTATTTAGCAAAAATTTATACTAAATTTAACTTATTTCACTTTTATTTATTTCTTTATTTTCGAAAACTACCCGCAGAACTTAGTTTCCGCAATACTTGTGAGTACTTACAGACAAAAAACCACAACAAGAAATTCTATTAATTCAAATAATATTAAAATATGGTGATGGTTTATACTTTCGCTTTTCACTTATATATATTTTACTCTAAATGTTTTTGCATTGAATTTATTACTTGACATATATATTATATTACTCATAACTGCTTTGTATAATGCAGATTATTTTAATAGATTGTATTTTTATGGTTTTAATTTAGAAACTCTCTTATATATATATACGTATGTACTTTTAGGTTTCGGGCAGTCAACGAGGGGCTAAAATACGTTCAATTTTGAATACGATGATTCAAAGTGAGACAATTTATGTATCCTGTTTAAACACAATGATACAAGTAAGAAATTCATTATATGTAAAATATTGATTTTATATAATCTAAAGCGAATTCGCTTTTTATTTTAGTATAAAAAAGCGATTCATGCTACATTAGGTACTTCTCAGCCTGTTATCAAGGAGGAAGAGGAGAACACAATATTTTTCAAAATCGATGAACTGCACGAGGCTCATACCGGCTTTCTGAGTAATCTAAAGTCTTTAGTGGCGCACGAAGGTGGCGATGTGCTCATAGGCGAAACATTTATGCGTCTGGCCGAAATGTTTGATTTGTACAGTGCGTTTCTGCATAACTACAATCAAGCTATCGAAACTGTAAAAAAATGTAGTGCCAATAACCCGCAATTCAAAAAGATTGTCTCTACAATCGTTTTGAATTTGCAGACTGAGCAATCGCTCACTCTCGAAGATTTACTGCATAAGCCGGTCGCTAGAGTGCAAATAAACGCCTTAGTGTTTAATGACCTTTTAGGATGCACGCCATCCAATCATCCTGATCATCATCATCTGAAACAAGCTCACGATACTATACATAGTTTTTTAAAGCAATTCAATGTAGTAAACCAGAGACTGCCATCCGATTCTAATAAAAACTTGCGACGCATGGTCAAAAACTCATTCATAGTTGAACTTGTTGATGGTCATCGAAAATTGCGTCATCTTTTTTTGTTTAACGATGTAATTGCATGTGCCAAGTATAAGGCTTCCGGAAGGGATCGCATTGATTACGATCTCAAATGGTTTATACCGGTAAAGGATATTGCCGTTTTCGAAGAGTCTGATTCGGGTGCCGAACATAAAGAATCTAGTCCAGCCAATATATTACATTTAAAGACCCAAGCATGCACAGTACGCGATCAATTGTTAATGGAGGAGCGGGATGAGAAGGCCCGTAAAGCCAATGGATTGAAAGCCGGCGATAAGTATCGTCGCAAATTGGCGGATCTGGAATCGCAATTAGTGTTGGCGTCGCCAAATCTTCTTTTCCGTATAGGCAATAAATCTACAAATAAAACTATAACATTCTTTTTAAGTTCCGACTTTGAGCGTTCGCAATGGATAGAATCCATTCTGAGTTTACAAGTAATTAAAAAAATCCGTTTTGAATTTACAGTTTAATGTATTTCCACATTTTTTAATATCCTAACAGCAAACTTGTAATATGCCAATATCTAGTGCTATTAATGCTTTGGAAATTCATGAATTCATAGTGGCCATGCAAAAAAGTATGAAAACAGAAATGGGTTCGTATTTGATGCGCAACACCAATGACGAGAGCCTCCTGGTCGGCGATTTGCACATGACTGTACATGGACTGACGGGATTGGAACAACCCGCTGATTTGTACATTTGCTTGGAAGTCGATTCTTACGGACATTACTTTCGCAAAGCAACCACCAAAATGGTGTGCCGCACTACGAATCCAATATGGAATGAAAGTTTTGTTGTTGAATTGGAAGGTAGTCAAAATGTACGCATACTCCTATATGAGCTTCAGGAAAGGACTGTAATAAAAGCTAAACATGTTTTAAAAGTAAGTTAAGTAAAACTTAAAAAGAATTTGGGAAAAAGGAAAATGTCTTAAAAAATTGGTAAAAACAATTTTTGCAATAGACGTAAATTAATGTAACAGTAAAACGTAATTTTTTTTTGGTTTTATTTCATACCTTCTCGTTTTAGTTAAGTCGGAGTTGGCTACAGGAAACGCCACAAGTGCGTACGCTTAAACTAGGCGACAGTCTGACACTGAATATCACGTTGCGTTTTGTACCTGGTGAAGTGACGCTCAGGCGTGTACCAACTTCGAAGCCTGGAGCTTTATTTGGCGCCAAAATGCAGCAAGTGTTAAAGTACATCTTCCGAATTTTTTTATTCTTAATCTTCTTTAATTAATAGTTTTTCCATTTTTTTTTTCTTTTTTTTTTTTTAATTCAAAGGCGTGAGAAGCGTGACATTCCTTTCATTATCAGTGCCTGTATACGAGAAGTAGAACGTCGTGGTATGTCCGAAGTTGGTATTTATCGAGTTAGTGGATCCGCTTCGGATTTAGCGAAACTGAAAAAATCATTCGAAACAAGTATTGAAACTTTAAAAATGTTTTGCATATGAAACGTTATATTGCACTGTTTATTTACTTTCAGATGCCTACGAAGCTGAGCAACTTCTTAAAGATGTTGATATACATTCTGTAACCGGTATATTAAAATTTTATTTACGTGAGCTGCCAGAGGCTTTGTTCACCGATGTATTATATCCAAAGTTTTTTGAAACGTTCAGTCGTTTCAGTAACAACAATGAAACCGAACGTATCAATGAACTGTTAATAGTGTTTGAAGATTTACCCACTGCCAATAAGGCTTCTATCAATCACATTTTAGATCATTTAATTAGGTAATTTTCGGAACTTTTTGGCTGTTATAATCCGATAACGTCAATATTATAAATTTTTCACAGAGTGCACCATCAAGAGGCGGACAATAAAATGTCTTTACATAATTTAGCCATGGTTTTCGGTCCGACTTTGCTGCGTCCAGGCGCTTCACAAATCAAACAAAAAGATCTGTTGGCATCCAGCACGGTAGATGTTATGGCTCAGGCAGGCATCCTCTATTGTTTTCTACAAGCTCGCATTAAAAAGCCTAAAGAATAAATTAAAAAAAAAAAGCACTAACTTGCACGATTATTTAGGCATTTAATGCCGTAATTTTAAGCAGAGTTAAAAAAACAAAAAGAAAAACAGAAACGATAAATACTATTTTTGTATGGTGTGCGTTCAAAAAGAAACGCTTTTTTGTAAATAATAGTTCTCTTCCTTTAGCAGGCATTTATTTCTTGCACTAAAGCTTTGCTGTTTATTCAATCAGTTTTAACTATAAAATCAAAATTACAAAATTCCTGCTTCTAGCATTATAAATTTGATTAATTGAAAAGAAAAAGAAAAGAAAAGAAAAGAAAAGAAAAGAAAAGAAAAAAAAAAAAAAAAACGAAATACGTTGTTATAGCCAAAATAAATGAAAAAGAAAACAATTAAATAATGAAAAACAATTGTATCGTGATCTTTAGACAGATGTCACAAAAAAAAAAAAAGAAAGAAAAAAAAAAAGAAGAACAAAATCGCTTATGTTATTGATTCACTATACTCAGTATGCATCACAAAACAATTAGACAATAACATATATCAAAAAGTAAATTATCTGACATTTATGAAATTTTTATTATTTTTTTTTTATATTTATTTATTATACTCAGTGACAAACTAACTACAATCAAATAATTTTGTATGGCATTTAAGGACTGCATAATCACTGGAATGTATACTTACTCTTCAGAGGGTACAATCAGAATGTCGTATGGATCTGTATCAGGTTCTGCTTTCAATTCATTAAAGTTGGCAAGCTTCTGTTTACTTCCAAAACTGACAAAGATGATTAGAAGACGAGCTAGACACGCTGGAGTTAGGATATAATCAGATTTCGGCTTAAAAAACTACAGTAGACGTGATAAAGAAGCCTCATTTAATGAAATGTACGAGAAGGACGTTACCTATAAATGCAATTTCGGGATGACGTTACCGAACATACAAGCAAAGTTTAGAAACCTAGGTAAAATACATAATGGGTTCCATTTTTCATAATACAAAAAAAAGGCAAATAGCAGGAAGCAGATCACATACTCTGCTGCTCTCTAGCTTAAAGGTTGCATGTTTGCTTGCTATAGACATTTCTGTCAAAACAATTGTAGAAATCGTAAAATACGCACCAACTTGGATCCCTGTTGAAATTAGCCTGTCACTGCCTATCACATTCCTCTCCAAAATTATACATCCAATAAATCGGAAGGAAAACATTTGTTAGAGTGCATTGTGTTTCGGCAACCAATTTACTTTCCAAACCATTCGCCGCAGCATACATATTTAATAAAAAGATCTTTGAATTTCTTTCTCTCATATATAAAAATTTCTTTTTATATCAACATAATACATACACTACAAGGGTATTTTGTATTACATATACATACGTACATCTATAATAACACATAAATAGCTATTTCTATATATGCGAAAATACATATTTAATAAAATCTATATAAAAGCAAAAATTATTCGTTTTGTTGCGTTGAGTTTGAATCGATCGCGAAAACCGCGCGATTTCCACGTTTGACTTTATATGTGTCTAGAGCATTCGATTCTTGGGCTGCACGTTTGCGAAGCTCAGTGACATCTTCATCGGATGTCGACGCCCATTCGAGCACAAGACGTCTTCCGTATAAATGTGTGCTTTGACTAAGGGCTTCAAAAGCTTTTTTAGCATCACTTTTGGAAATAAAATCGACAAAACCAAAGCCACGATGGGTATCTTCTCCTGGTGTCATTTTGCGAGGCAAGCGTACACTACGCAGCTCCCCGAATGCCCTAAAAAATGATTATATTTTGTATATTTAAATATATATATATATGTATATTGGATGTTTGCAAAAGTTTTGGTCAGCGGCTTCTACAGGTAAAAATGATAAAGACGCGGGAAATACCATTGTACATAAAGGTTGAATTCGATGGTTTTGACTTTCTTTTACATAAAATAAATTTTGAATTATTCAGCGTACGTTGACGCTAATCATGGGCCGCTCAAAATTCTTCTTCCCAATTTATGACTTTTGTTGTCGATTTGAAGAAATCTGCTACCGAAGACCGCCAAACATGTTCAGAGGCTTATGGTGGTGCTGCTCCCAATTGTCGATTTTGGGTTAAACTTAAATGCCCTTTTTTGGACACTTGTTGAAAAAGTTATCCACCATACATTGTTCCAGCTCAAATGGAAAGTTCTGCTACATCCGACGTACTCATCAGGGATGACGCCTCCTGATTACCACTTATTCGGATCAGTGCAGCAAGGCTTGGCTGGCACGTGAGTCCGCAAAGTTGAAGTGGGAAAACAGCTCGGTGGGCGGACAGTTGCCAATCCAATATAATGTCATGTTTTTCGGATGGAAACTATTTTGGTTAATACAAATTGTACCAATTTTCCACAATAAATGCCTTTTTCAAGTGAAAAAGTGATCAAAAGTTGTGCAAACACCTAATATATATGTAAATGTTTAAAAAACAAACATAAAGTGTTATCTTATATACTTAAATATATCTTGGACTTCTTTCATTTTTGCCTGGAAGGCTATGTTGCGTACTAGAATTTTGGTGCCGGTTTGTTTTGTCAAAGAAACCTTCTTACGTTGTGCTTTGACTTGATCTTCGCTATCTCTGAAAAGCAAAAAACCAAAAATTCATAAATTATACTTTAAATTGTTCATGGTTGGGTAATTTACTTAAGCGTGCGATCACTGCGTTTTAATTCCACCTGATTGCCATCTATAGTGGTAAATTGCATTATTTTTAATGCCTTGTCCGCGGTAGACGCTTTTTTAAATTGTATGAAGCCGTAACCCAAGGACAATATGTCTTGCGGATTGCTCGTATCCCGCCGTTTAGCAATTTCCACTGTGTGTATCGCACCCAAACCTTTGAAGTGATTATAAATTGTCTCTTGTTTCGTTTTAAAGTTAATATTGCGTAAAAATAGTGTTGTATTCGGCTCGGGGCAACTATCGTCCTTTTCTTCACACTCTTCTTCTGACTTTTCTTTATTTCCCTCTTGTTCATAAGATTGATGTCCTTGCGATTCCAATTGCTCTGTCTGTTTAATATTTTTTTTGTCCTGTGTGTTTTTCTCTTCGGTAAATGTGTCTACCGTGCTCGTTCTATTATCACCCGAAAGAGTATTCTCCGGGGCCCATTCCAAGTAAAGCGGTACGCTTTTAAATTTGCTATATGCAAGTTTTTTGAACGCCTGCCGAGCTTCTCCCGCATCACAATATTCAACAATAGCTGTAACACCGGTAGGAGGTAAGATGAATCTGCTAATGGGCCCATAAGTGCCAAATAAGAGTTTCAAATCATTTATGTTTGCATCGTGTGGAAGGTTTTTAACTAAAATTGTTGTTTTCGAACGTTTCATTACTGGGCCATCAAAAACATTCAGCTGAACGCCATTATCCTCCAAAAATTTCTTCATTTCTATGACTGTTTGCGTTTCGCCTAAGGCCAATCGCACTGCTGCACTTGAACCGCCCTCGGCTGTATCAAAAATTTGCTCTTTGGTTGTTTCAAACTTCTGTGCTAAAATTTCAGCGACTGCATTTGACCCAAGAAACAATGTGTTCCAGTTAACACTTTGTTGAGCGCTTTTTTTTAGCTTTAATTCTTTTTTCTCTTTAAAAGTTAGCCCAGCGTCGTTCTCGTCATCAGCTTCTTTCGTTTTACTTTTACCAGGCATTAAATGTAAAAGGCGACCATGAAAAGTGCTTCCGTCTAGCTGATTGAACGCTTTAATAGCATGCTCCGGCATCAAGTAAGTAACCGTGCCGAAACCTTTAATTTGACGTGTGACAGAGTCTATCGGCAAATTCAATTCTGCGACAGGACCAAATTGTTCGAATAATTTTTGTAATTCATCTTCGTTTACTGTATAGGTTAAATTACGGAAGAAAATCTTCCCGGATTCTGATATATCCTCTTCATTACATAAACTGTCTGCTTGCTGTTTCCATTTCGAATGATGGGCATTTAAAGGCACCGCCGTCATCCTACTTTCCAAGTTGTTTAACTTATTTTTGGTGATTTTGTTTTTCTCAGTGAAATCCGAAAAGAACACTTGTTTGCTTTTAATGAAGCTTTTGTTCTTTAGCATAGCTCTTTTCATGTCTTTCTCAGTTTTAAAGCCGACATAGCAAAATCCGTGAATTTTCGTAGGTAAACGCACTGAATAAGGCTTTAGAGGCTTAAAAAATTTTAATACATCCTGCCGCTTAGTCTTATAGGGCACATTATGAATTTTAATAGTAAATAGGTCCAAGTTAGGTTTGCTTTGCTTTGTTGTACTGATATTTAAATCATTCTTGTTATCTATTAAAGACTTCATATATTCTAAATCACTTATTGATTTGGTAGCCAATCTTTCTTCTCTGTCCGCTATGTCATGGTCATCCTTTTCTGGCAACTCATTATTATCGTCCGCGTTTTCCTCCACATCCTCTTCATTGTCGCTTTTACTAGATGGAGACGCGTCCTCCTTGATTTTCGCATCATTTGCCCAAAGCAAACGATGTTTGTCATGAGCTTGTAAAAATTCCTTAAATTCTGCATCGTCTTTATATTTTTCTACTATCTCTTTTAATTTGGAGATTTTGTTCACATTTTCCTTAGAATTCACAGTTTTTTCGTTCATCAAATCAAGCAATTTTTGCTTTTCTTTGGTGTATTTACTCCATGGTCTTGGCTTGTTCTCAGTTCCCAAATCCCCGCATAATTCAACCCGAATACGACGTGTGTGAATGCAAGTTTTATCAAAAAACTCAAGAGCTTTCTTGGCTTCATCCTCCGCCTGATATCCTATGAAGCAAAATTGACGGAACGTTCCTTCCGGAGTATACTTCATGGATATATCCGTGATGTGCCCCGTCGCACTGAATATATTTCTCAATTCATTTTCGTCAATCTGGCAAAAATCGTCAACCAAATCAAACAATTCTCGCGTCACATATCGATTTAACTACTTACCTTCTTCGGTAGTTGTTTGACTATAATTCTTGACATTTTCGAAACCCTTTCTTTCAAAAGTCGCGTTAATTATTGTTGAAGTTTCAAACCCAAATATTTGTTTTTTTATCAGCACGTGAAAATAGCATTGTTGCCAATCTGATTATTTTTCTTTAAAATTAGGAATTGATACCGAAAATAGAGACGTAGCTATTTAAATTCCTCTGAACAAAGCTGCAGGGGCATAATCACACATCTGAAAGCCAATTTAGGTTTTCGTCTTCCCGCTGGTATGGGATCGTGTACCTGATAGCACTCAGCATTGGTTGATGACGATCATCGGTTTCTTGGGATCACGTAGGCACAATCGTTGTTAACTATACTCTGTCACACTTCTCAAGTTATAAGAGAAAACAACTGTAAATTCAAAACAAAATAATTTCCAAACTAAATTGTTTATTTGCGAACAGCTGAGCCAACATGAAAAATTAGAGAAAAAACTTGATAAATAAAAACAAAATTTATTGAGCAAAAAAAGTGAGAGAAAATTGCAAATAACGAAAACTTTTTCTCCACTTCTTCTTAAACTAGGACATAGCAAGCTGCTTAAGCCAAAAGAAGATGGCACGAAATATTGCATTTAAAGACGTTCCCGCCCATCTGATTATATCTTCGTTTAGCTACTTGTGGGCAAAAAGAGCAGCGTATTTGGGCTGTTTAAGTTGAATAGTGGCAATTTTTTCAAGAGGATATGTGACAATGGATAATACTTGAATTCATTGTCGCACTGCAGAGTCAACTCGGCACTAAGCTGAGTGGACAGCAACCGGTACAAGCCGTCCGGGAAAGTTAAGGCGTCCGTACTTTGGGGCGCACCGTATAATATTCATAGACCACGAGCTTATTGCGTAATGCTTTATATCGCAGTTTTAAAATCAATCCATAACGAAAGCGTAATGAGAGCACAGAACTTTATCACCTTTTAAACTATAGCGCGCATCTTTTTACATCAGTTTTATATTTCCATGATACCGTGACATTGTACGCTTTCATAACAATTCCTATTTATGCTCGTATAAGTTGATTCTGGTTTTCGTTTTGTTTATATATGATTTTAGTACCTTTCAAATAAATACTTAAATTATTTTTATTTATTATGACTTGATATACTTATTATTATACTTATAAGAGATGTTGTTCACATAGCGACAACGAATACTTTGCACACAAAAGCTATCGGAGCAGGTTAGAAGTTTACAAGGCGAATTCCTTCACCTTAGTCTTTAACTGGACAATTACTAAATCGGCGCAATTATTCTACTTTAATAGTAGAATCTTATAACGATAATATCAAAAATGTGTGTGTGCTCCGGATGGAGCTTTCATCTAGTCTGGAAAACCTAATGCGTTTCGTATATCGCATCGTATATCGCATATATAATAAATAGGCAATGGTTCGAACCAACAACCATGTTTGCATATTTGATTAATTGTAGGCGTACTTTTGATCCAGTTTGTCTAAAATTGACAATTGACTGGAAGTAAAAACTTTTCACCATGGAGCCTATAATTTAGGAAAAAAAAGTTTCTTGACTTGACAATAGCTTCTTTTTTTGGATAAAGTTTTGAGGCCGTGATCGTGATATTAAAATACAAACGTAGCAGGTAGTAATAGGACTCTTCCGCGCAGTCTACGCGATCACTCAGTCGGATCGGAATTAAAATCTTCAATTTTTAATCAAAACAAATCGATATTTTGTTAATAAATAATGTTCAACTTTGTTTATCACAAACTCTCTTCCCTTTAGATATTGTGAAATGGAAGAATGGAAAAAAATGAAAATTTCTGAAGTTACGATGCTTATGCTAATGAGGTTTGCAAGATGAAATCTTTTACATCATATGAAATTTTGACACGCCCATAATTATCCCTTTACGTCATTCTTGAGTGTTCAGGGAATCACTTTATCTCGAAAGAGCAAACAAAAAACATGAATATATATAACGCATTTATAGCAGATAATGCGAAGCGGTGCACATCGGCTCCATTGCAATATTATATACATAAACGGCTGTTTGGCAGCCCTACAATTAATCTTTAACGAAAATTGTGATCAATTCGTTTCCTCCAGTCAAGAGAGTATCTTTAAAGTGCTAGGTTGTGCTTTAAGAGAGCTACGGGAACTGAAAACTGAAAAGCGCCCGACAAGAAGTATCGGAATTTGAAAAGTTGTAAGCTCGGTGAGAAGGAAATTTGTGTGCGTTCAAACAAACATTGGCTTATGTGAATTTCATTTCTGTGTTTATAAATTATAAACACAAAATAAATATCATTTAAAAAAAGTGCTCGAGTTTTGTTTTTTTTTTTGTTTACTGATGTTAAGTACATATAAAAAAAAATATCTGCATTGTGTTTTCACTGTAGTGTGCAGTTTTACTATGAAAATATATATATATATTTATATATATACATATATGTAGAAGACGTGGTGGTAAGTGGTACATACTTTCCTACTTTCAAATTGTGCTACATCTAAATATGCAGATGCTGTTATTGAAGCACTAATTAGGCTCATAAATATTATTGCTATGTTGAAGCAGAACAGCATATTTTATTGTTATTGCCATTGTCAGGTATGCTTGTTATTGTCTAAACTTAGAAAAAAAAGCTCGTAGTATTCTAATAAACAATAGCGCGATGCAATAATAATAAAAGATAAATAATAGAATAAATCAATAGTCAGAGAATTTTTTTGCTTTACTGCATAGTGGAGAGAACCGAATCGGATCGGATCGGATCGGATCGGATCGGATCGCCATGGATGGACAACAAAAAGTACAAAGAAATCTAAATCATGTAGACAAGCAATTAACGCAGCTGAACAGGTAGTTGATTGTTCGCTGCGCTTAGACTAAGCACTACATCTAAGGCAGTCAAACAAGATTTTCTATTCAATTGAACTCAATGTAGATGTTCTTTTGTGTTTTGCTTTGTACATGTGCGAAACTTTTGCTTTTAATGATTACAAAAAATGATAATAATAATAATAATAATAATACTGATAATAATTGCAGAGTATTTCTGCAAACATAGACATATGTCTATGCCTGCGCATGTAGGTGCAATATATAACCCATTCATCACATTCCTTAGCCGGTTTCGAAAGCATACAATAATGTTCAAGATTCACACGATCAATAAATTTAATTACTATGCCTTCAAGTTTTTCTATCTACTTAATACTTTTCATCATTCTACATAAATAATATTACATAATAATAATGGGGGGTGTTACGTTAATTTTGGCAATTTTTTTGACTTGGAAAACGCATTTATTTATTGAGAAAAATTCATACAATACACAATATGTTTTATTGATCACCATATTTTCGATCAATTTCTACTACTAACTTTTGCCCATCTTTCTTTTGCCCAAGACGGTGATGCCGCGTTGGAAGAACGACAGCGATTTGGCAGGGATTCAATCGTCGACTCATTTTCGCACTTTACTTCAACTTTGTAGAGCCGCGTGCCAGCCAAGCCGTACTGCATTGATCTGAACAAGTCGTATTCAGAAGTCGTATTCGCATCCGTTGAATGCGCTGGGCGCGATGGAACTCCCGTGCGAGCTGCAACAGTCCTCTCCCATCGCATGTACACGCTTAGAAATAGTACATTGCTAAGCTGTTCGAACGTTCTTTGCGAGCTTGTTTTCGAACTTTTTTCGTTTGCTCCTCCAGATCGTTCTTTGTTATTGACATCAAACTCACCTCTTTTTAAATCGTTGACGATAGCAAATTTCCTTCGAATCAAACAACAAAAGCAATTAATGTCCAAAAGGACAATTTTGAGCGTTTCATTCTATTCTATTAACGTTTGTAAATGCTGAATAACTCAACGAGGAGCGGATATCTTATGTAGAGAAAGTTCAAAATCATCGAATTTAATCGTTATGTACACTGGTATGTCTCTGCTTTTAGTCAGAAGTCGCTGGCCAAAATTAGCGCAACCACCTAATATAATTTATATAATATGTCATCCGTCCAAGACATATAGATATACAGATATGTAAATACATGATAAACAGCAAAATTCATACAAAGTTGTTTACAAAATGAGATTTGGCATAAACGCATAAAAGTCCGGTGCGGCCAGCGAGCTGCCACAGCATTTATAATTAAGATAAGAACTTTCCGTTAACTTGAAGTTGGCAAATGTTCAAGATTTACTTGAAAATGTTTACGGCTTTTTTATTCGTTATTTTTAATGATTTCCTCATCTAACTCGGACGTTACCTGACGACTTGCTTCGCTTAGCTTTAATTTAAGGAAATGAATGAAAGAAATTCAAATATGCGCTTAACATTTATCTACCAATAGGATGATCCTCTCTGCTCTGCTCCTATAGACGGCAGAATTTTGTCCCGATACCCTCGGCTTCGTATGTATTCTCATGTACGCAGTTTTCCCGCTTCATATCTAATAGGTATCACTCGCAGGCATTCATTTGTTCTTAGTATACCATAATACCGTAATCTTCCAAATCCAAATTGAAACTTTCTAATTCGTATAGTATAGCGTTGCGACTGTAACGATTGACTTGAAACGTGTCTGCAAAATTTTGTACAACTTTCCATCATCACCTTAATAGAAACAGGATTTTCTAAAGTCATAATATAAGTGTGTACTTAGACGCATATATTGCTTGTGTATGTAATGTGTAGTACGCGTGCAGTGCAATATAATGCTAAAGTTTCATTTTAAGCTATTTGTCATTAGGATTGCAATCAACTGTTAATTACGGGTAACGTGTGCATACCTATGTTCGTTCAAATCGAAAAATTTTCTGTTTCATGTCGATCACTGACGAAAGAAAATCGCTAGACTTGCCCTACCGGTATAAGTATAACCAATCATATATACTTGCGACTTGGGATAACGCTAATCGAATCGAAATTATTTTTGGGTAAACATTTCGAATTTGATCTCGTACTGCCTTACAATTCGAACAAACCTTTGTTGTAAGATTATAATAATTAAAAATGTTGTTCATTGTTAATATTAGGAAATGCAAACATGACTTCCATAGGATGAACAAACAATCCGCTTGTCAAGGGTATCCACAATGCAAGCATATTTCTGGTATTGTCATAACATTGAAAGCATCGTTCAAACAATCAATCAATTTTCTATTGAAATATGTGTTAATCGAAAGAACTAATGTGTGCTGATAATAGCGGAGGAGGTTAGAGATGCAAACCTCATTCCTGAATGAGTTTTCCCATATGAGGTCGATACTGAATAATACTGAAAACTTATCACGCCCATTTTATGTCGCTAGCCAGTTATTGCTGGTGGCACTTCATAGTGATAGATTTATTTATGATTATTATAATTTATGTGTGACCATAATATACTATTGACTCACACATACTGTATCTGTGTGGTTATTTAAGCTTTGCATGTCGTAACGCCTTCACTGTTCACCACTTTTAGGAATTTGGCAGCAACTATTTTTCAGATTAAGAAGGAAAACTAACGATACTACTTTCAAATGGGGGAGTTAAAGCTTTATTCGGTGATAATACATAATACAATGTTACCTAAATTCTCTCTTCTTAAGGAAGTGGCGGAGTCAATCGAATAGCCGATCCGAATAATTAATTCTTTAGCAAAAACACTTAAAAGAAATATTAATGCTTGACTCATTTTGCTCAATCTTGCATCAGATAGAAAACTACATCACTTCGTGGAAATTTTGAAATGGCACACTATTGCCTATTTCTGTAATAATAATTAAATTTTTATTAACACGAGTTAGGTAAGCAAATTATCTTAGACGTTGTATCATTTATTTCTGATGTTGTTTTATCATCCATTACCTACTTCCATGAATAATACATAAACTTGTTGCCCAATTCCCTTTATCTTTTTCTTTTTGTCGTTTATCTTCATAATTGAATACTTTTTCATTCCTAATTTATTCTATTTATCTATGCATCTTCCATCGGTTTGCCGTTTAGGCAAACAAACACTTACCTTTTCGAGGCCATAAGTCAATGAAACAATGCTAAAAAAATTATGCAATTCGCCCTTCGCCTACATGCACGCCCGCGGTAAAGGGGAAACTAAAACAGCCTTGAAACAAAAAAAAAACAATAATTTTCGATTCTGTGACGATATTTCGGAAATTCGCTACCCACCTACATGTTTTTCAAATACGTCTGCATATTTGGATCGATCATCAATACGCTCACAATTAAGGATAATGCTAGTGTGTGTTAGAATAAATGAGAAATAAATTGGAATTAAAATTTGATCGGAAATTTTTGCCATACTAATGAGACGATCATACTGAACATGAAGTTGATCCTCACGAATATTTCTGATGATAAGTTTTTAGAAACATCTGGACGGGATCGAAAGTTGTGGACAAAATTAGGGTCAACGGTATCTCGAAAACTGTAATAAAATGTAGAAAAAAAGTAATTATAGGCGTTTAAAGGTCACTTCATAAATTAGGCAAAGCTAGAAGTAACTTCCGATGCAGTTACGCAAAATCTATAGTTCGTATTTATTCATTATAAGTCACCGAACCAAACGAGCTTTTGTTTTTACTATATCGATAAGGATTCAGTTCAAAAAGTGCATATCCGACATGTAATGCTTTGGGATTTTAAACAAGGCAATAGCGCTAAGGCGACATCTGAAAAAATATGCACCGTATACGGTAAAGGACTGATAACTGATCGGGCAGTTGGAAGATGGTTTCGAAAAGTCCATTCTGGAGATACGATCTTAAAAGACCGGATGTCTTTCTGAGTTTGACGACAAGCTTGTCTTGTCTTGGGATAATCCTTAGGGCGATGTATTATAGTATTCTTATTTTTTCTTTAACTTTTCTTTTCGCCTACGACATCTAACACGACGTTGGTCGGAAAAAAGTGAGGGAATAGAAAAGGGAGTATGCGAAGTTTAGCGCGTATATGTGCACCACTACCTGATGCGCCTTTACCGACTGGCATAGCTATGGCTTAGTAAGCGCTCTACTGCACCGAAATTTCGACCCGCGAACGCTGACTTGAAAGTCGACATGATTCAATTTGCTTTATTCCATGATTTCTCGACCGATTGCTTAATTCGAATGAATTAAACCGAATGTATGAAATATGTATTAATGTGACGGCTATTTAAAAATGGAAGGTTACGTGGAAAGTGTCCGAAAAAGTGGTCCGATCCGAAACATTTTCAATAGTGTTCGTCCTTGAATGCAAACCATAAGTGGTTTAGGGTATAATATGATTGTTGCCTTGCTTGGAACTTGTAATGTCTCTGCGATCTTGTCCGAAGTATGCGTTGTAGACTTAATAATAATGAAGTCATTCTTTAAATCTCTCTACATATATAGAAAATGAAAACGTTTGGAATTTAATTTGCTAAGTTAATGTATAAAAATTAATTCACCGTTTAGTACAATGTAGTAGACAATGTACATAGGCGTGTTGCATATTCAGATAGATAGGTTGTGTTATTGAACTTTATTATTTTAAAATAAATCCATGATGCATAAGGCAAGCTACCGTGTGAAGCACGTACATACATACATACATACATATACATATCGGTATACATTTATATGCATTCGTTATTTGCACTATAAATATTTATGTTTAGGTTTACGTTCATTCACTGTTATGTCACTGTCACGACGGCTGAAATGAACACAGACAGGCAACCAACCTGTACCAAGCAGCTGGCACTTTCAATAAAGTGAAGATGTTCCTGGTTTTATTTATTTTTCATTTTTTTTCCATTAAAGAGAAAGCGCATAATTTATTAAGCAGACAAAACTTGATTTTTTGCCTGACAGTTCATGGAGATCAAAAGTTGAAATTGGCTAAAAGGAACACAAAAGTGAGAAAGTTGTAAACGGGTTGGGCACATCTGAGATAGAAAAACAAAAAAAAAACAAACACAAACACATAAAAAAAGATAAGAGAATCCGGGAAAGGACCTGAAAGTATGAGAGGCGGCGATTAATATTGAAATGATTGATAAACAACAACAAAACAAAATGTGAGAGTAGTTTGGTATTTTTATTCATATGTAAAAATGTTGAAGCACAACCTTCAATTATTTCAATTAGATTTATATATAGTATGTACTATGCGTGCGTATATATAGATATGTGTGTTCATTTACCAATTGCTGGCTTTTAATATCTCGCAGAAATCATTGCAAGATATTTTGTGCTCATAATAACTTTATGTTTGTTGAAATGGCCACCGCGTTATTGGCAGACTGTAGCAATAGTTTAAGAGAATCAACAACTAGTTCATCCAGCGATATGTTAACGTTAACTACGTCGGCGTCGTCGTGGTGCGCATTTTCCGTTTCGTCGCGTATACGTACGGTACGTTTAATTAGACCACATATGCGACGTATTTTAGTGGTTCCGGGTACGACACCGACCTTTGGATTTACTGTACGTGGCGGCAAAGAGTTTGGTACCGGCTTCTTTGTTTCCAGCGTGGATAGGAACAGCGAGGCAGAACAGAAAGGCTTAAAAGTAAGTGCTGTATAATATAAATGAATGATTGAATATATTTATGACAAGACATTAATAATTCTTTTCTTTTTTTGTTCGTATTTTTCAATACTTACGAAATCTATGAAAAAAAAATGTGCTTAAAAGCAAAGCCTGCAATTAAGTTAAGTAATTAAGAAGAAACAAGTGAGAAAATTATGTTCGGTCGTGGCCGAATCTTGTATACTTACTTGCCACCGTTACACTAGAAGAGATTGAACAAAAAAAAAAAAAAAAGACCAAACATTTATACTCAATAATATTGTGGGTGAGTTTCTCGTATCTTTGTAATGCAAGCTAAAGTACTGAGTGAAAAGAGAGTTCTCAGTTTATGTTGCATTCTGTCGCGTGTCCTTTGACCGATTTGCCCCCTTTTCAAGTTCTTTTGCAAATAGGAAGACGATACTCTCATTATAGACAGGCGGACATATGAACAGACAATAGAAATGGTCAGGCATGACAGAAGGAAGAAAGCGACATACTTAGGTGCAATCCGAACTGCACACTGGTCAAGATTTTTATACGCTTTATGGGATTTTTGAAGCTCACTTGTGGACGCTATAAAGGTATTGAATGAATGGGCGTCGCTGTTTTATTCCATTTTCATTCAGATCGGCCATCGAATATATGTTCAAATTTTTATAGGTTTATAAGTAGTGAACAAGAAACCCAATGTTTTTCTACTTGACAAACATAAGTCTCTTGATTTCACGAGATAACACCGTGCTGTGCGTTGTCTATATTCAATATGAAATCTGTGTGCAAAAATTTCCAATGTTTTTGCCGAATTTGAAATCGATAGCTTCATTTTTACCATAAACATTAATTATAAAGACGGACGGACATGCTTAAATCGATGCAGAATATAATGCTATACGTTGTGGGCGTTGAAAACGTTGCAAACATAATGAATATACGCCCCATCCTTCGGTGATTGGTATAAAAAAAAAAAAAAAGAAAAGGTGAATAAATACATTGTAGACGCGCAACATATAAGTGTATTGCAAGCGCAATGAATATAACTTATGCGGAGGGCATAATTAACCCGAGGCAACAACGTAACAACGCAAAGACACACAATTTTACAAATAGTGTTAAATATTAGATTCCATTATGTGTATGCGTACAAAGCCTAAACGTCTAGATCAGGGATGGGCAACCTTTTTGATCAGCGGGCCAAAAATCTCGATTTTTATTAAAAATTCAGCATTCTGCTTCAATTTTCCTTCCTAATGAGCAAAAAAAAAAAAAAACAAAAAAACATTTTACATTTGCGCAACTGAGCCGATAGTGAACACAGACACTTTTCATTTGTACCGCTGTTATGTGTGAGCAAATTGGATTATTTGAAAATTGGACGTAGCGGGCCCGATTCGACGTCACGGCTCGACGCTTGCCCATACGTGATCTAGATGTAGGTTATGTGTCCGATTGACGCGTATCATTACGTGTTGCAGGCATTTCATGAAGCTTGATATGTCCGCAGCGGAGAACATGAACAAAAGAGATATATTTAAATAATTTTTAAATATTATCACGTCTCGGCAATTTCAATATTCTTCGATTTGTGGTAGATCGATGCACAATTCGTTGTAACGTTGTTATTAATTCTTTACCGCACCCAATTGTGTGTGATGTATATGTGTAACTATCGTTTAAACTTTCATTTCATTTCACTTGTTTGTAGATTGGTGATCAAATATTATGCGTTAACGGTTTTAAAATCGATGACGCTATACACAAAGAATTTATGCAGCTCGTACTTAGACAAGACCGATTAGTGTTGAAAGTGCGCAGTTTGGGAATGTTGCCAGTTAAGCAGTAAGCAAAGGAAAATAAAAAATGGGCTAAACTTACTTTTTAATTATTTCACTCTTAACTGATATCATTGTTTTAGAAGGGAAAACTCTGAATTGTATTGGAATGGTGTTAAGACGCCTGCGGTGTATAATGCAACACATCCGGAAAATTCATATCAATCGTCACTTAAACGCGATAAGCGCATTTTAAGTGAGCGCGAGGTACATATTGTGCTGAATGTGGCACCAAAAACTAAGCTTGGTTTAGGGATATGCAAAGGCCCCGAGTGGAAGCCGGGTATTTTTGTGCAATTCACAAAAGAAAAAAGTGTCGCTAGAGATGCGGGGTTAAAGCCAGGCGACCAAATACTTAGTGTTAATAGTATTGACTTTGCCGATGTGTTATTTAGCGAAGCTGTCGCTGTAATGAGAAGTTCGAACAAGCTCGACATGATGATACGCACTAAAGTTGGTTGCGATCTCTTTCCTGGTGAGTCAAGCGGCTATAATAGCTCAGCGAGTTCAATAACCGGCGATCAAAGCCCTTGTTGGGGGGATGCGAAATCGAAGCGTTTGATTTCAGTTAAAGAAGAAGTCACACCCTTGACAACAACGCCCATTAAATCTTGGGAGAATCTTGCACAAACCGTAGGCAAGCAGGTGCTAACATCTGGCGCAAACGAAGAGCCAAATGTATACGAAACGAAAGCCGATGGCACAGAAGTTAATAAAACAATAATTAAGTTATTAGATAATGGGACGTTGATCAATAACAAAATGTTAGATAACAATCCAAACGCAAGCATAAATGCAAACACAAGTACTACCAAACCATGGGACAGTGCTGCCACAAAAAAGGACGATACACTAAAGGCACCGCCGCCGCCTCCCCCACCCCTCGCAAATAATGATACCGATAATCGAGGACAATTTGAAATACAAACCGAAACGAAATGTGAAAAAGCTAACGACGAAGATTACAGTTGCAGGCGTTTAAAACGTAATGGCGGTATAGCGGCCACTATGCAGCGATATCAAAACCTAAGAAACACAAATACGAATATACCGTCACCGTTGCCAACCTTGCAAAAAGTTATTCATAAATTCCAAACCACCAGCACTAGTACTAGCGAAACGAAATCGGGCTTATCCAGTCTCTCAAATGCCATCTCTGAGGAATTGAAGAAACGTAAGGCGGTAAGTGTTGTACAACGAATTTCTTCAGCAAACATATGATAAAAGCAATTTCGTAGAAGCAACAAACATGCCAACCGAATGAGACCGTCTCATCTACCGAGTTATCTAAAAGCAATCTTTGCAATCGACCTTGCAACATTAATCCTATGCCTAGTACGGAAACAGCGCTTAATATTACGCATCATATTAATGGGTATCAACACAGTGCTTTCATCAATGAGTTTAAGGAGGCGCACAAGAGAATGTTTAAAAATGGATTTAAAGAGAATGATACATCGAAAACCGAGGTTAGTAAGATATGTCACACACACACACACGAATTCTAGAAATAAGTTGGAAATTATATAACCAAGTAAGTTCTCCGTGGAAGGAATCTTTTTTTTTTTTTTGCTTTTTTACCGACAGTTTTGGCGTCGTTTTATAAATTTCGTTGATGGGCATCAAATAAAGGAGTATTTTTCCTCTTTTCCTTTTTCCCCCGAAACTTGAACTTTCCATTTGACTGACGGACATTACGACATCTACGACGAACATATGTAACATTTAATACGCTATTTTGGGCGTCACAAATGAAAGAACGATCTTAATATACGTTCACGATGTAATAGTGAATATTAATTAGTTTGTCGGATTAGTGTAGGTGAATTAAGGCATCCCCGGAAGCGAGTTTTATTAATCTATGTTATGTTATCTATATTATTAGCTCTTTCTCTATCTTTTCCTGTTGGGTGTATTTGAAGTATGTCCATGATAGGTGCGAAAAAAAAGACGTAAAACGAAGGAATCATTCCGTCTCACTGGTAAATAAAAATATGGCGAAGAGAACATTGTTGGGGTGAAGTAGCGCAGTAAACTTCTTGAGACCAAAGCAAACTCTAGATGAAAAATAAAGATGAGAAGTAAAGAGATTCTCCAGCGCATTAATAAAAACAAAAACTCATGTCCTTGGTTTCCTTGTAACGCTTATATTAACCGATAACTAAAATATGTGGGCAACGTTTTGCGTCGTTCGCTTTATTATATTCAAAGGCCATCACAATTCTTGTAAATTGCATATATGACTGTTCGAAAATAATAACAAGAACAAAACACACACACACACACGCACACACGCACACGTAAGAAGCAACAAACGAGAAACTTCAACGTAGTAGCATAAATAGTGAGCGAACGTAAGCCTTCTGTAACGGTATACCTAAGCGGAGTCTTGTCATAGAGTAATAGGGATAGGAGCACGGTGGGTTGAAATCGAAACGGGCGGCATTCGGATGCTTTCCCATTTAACTAAAAAATGCATACACACATACACACATTTAATATCAGAGAATCGATAGAAATGTGATTTTCATATCTTCGTTATAGAGTGGTCAAGAAGGCGTCATTACTTCGGTTAACACAATTTCAAAGCAGCCCCAAAGGATTTCGACTAAAATTAGCAATAATCATTTCTCCTCTGAGGTAAGATTACAAGTTCAGCATTTTTAAAAAGAAAAAAAAATTTATACATATAACTACTTTTTTTTTTTGTTTCTCTTTTAAAATATATTTTGCAACTGTTTTTTAAACATTTTACTTTTCTTTTCTTTTTTTTTTTTTTTGTGCATTTACAACAGCTTTCGAACAATCCCCTTAGAGCTGAATACAACAACTCAGAAAGATACCCTTTTAATAGAGAAAAATGTAATGAATCATCGTCGACGGGTAATGATGGTAAACTAGTTCGACAACAACAGCAACAACAACAACAACAACTTCATAAAATAAGTCATAATATTCAACATTATGAACCGTCCTTAAATAATATTAAATCAGTAGAGAATCAAAAGGCCATGCGAACGCATATGAAGCATGTTAGCGATTATGAGAATCAAACAATTCAACAGATAATGGGGAGAAGAGAAATCGCACGAGACGAAGTGTGCCATTTTAAAGTCGAAACGTTAAAGGACTCGCAAATTGAAAAACGAAATCACAATTATCAACATGAAAAAAGTCAGGAAAACTGCAAAGAGATTGATGTCAACAACAAACAACAACGAAACAAATTGGAAAATTCGCCGCCATTGTACGCAGCTATAAAGAAAAGCAACTATCCGGTGGATTTGTCAAGTGGACCGGGAATTTTAAAAAACGGCAATCGTCTCAACACCAGCAATAATACTACGGCCAAACCCTTAGAGAAGTCCATCAAATTTGTTTAGGTTCCCAGCAGTAATTCGTTGTTCTATATACAATTTATTCTCTAATATGTGCAATAAATGTAAAATTTAGATTAGAAATACTTTACAAAATACAAAGAGTGCTTAAATTTTTCTTTTTTTTTTTTATGCTAAACAATATATATTTACATATAATATATAACATAATATAAATGACATTTTCTTAATTCTCAATTTATATATGTATATACATATAATAAAAGACATGAACATATGTATTTTCAAAATAGTTATTTTTATTTTTTTTTTAAAAACTACTTTGGCCACAACTTAAAGAGCATCTACTGAAAGAGAATTTCGGCTCGGGGTGTATTAACACTTGGCAACTTTCCTCTTCGGCTAATATATCGGTGCTGGAGAATGGCGATGAACCGGATATATGAAAAAGAGGGGGATGTAAAAGTCTTATCGTCGATACGCGTTCACGCCAAGTATTCCAAAAAAGCTATGAAATTAATTTAAAAAAAAACTTGGCTTACACTTGTGCACAAACAACTTCATGTTTTTTCTTATTTACATTTTTATATAAATGTCCGCCGAACTCAAAGAACATTGGCTTATCCTCTTCCCCGCAGATGGTGATGCACATTATGTCCCTATTTTGTTTGCGAAAGAATTGCAATTTAACAAATTGCAGAGGTAACAAACTGACCAATTGAAACGTCTCGATCTCGGGATCTATCTCGCGATAGAGACAACTGTTTAAATCCGCGCAATCGTCAAAATCATCGCAACCGAATATCAGTTTTGTACGTGTAAGGCCTGTGCATGAAAATTTACAATAAATGCTTAAGTGATTCATTCATTCATTCATTCTAAAATATTCCAATTAGAATTGCTACCGATATGATATTGTCTTAGACCCTGGCCGCACTCTGTCACTTGCGTAAAAGGATTTTCAACAATTACAGGCTCATATATGTCATTATATTCCGCTATCATTACTTTTTGTATGCGAAACATATGTCTATTATGTCGGCCGATACGCCCGAAGATCAGAAGTTTATGAGATTTCTCTTGTTTTGCTCCAAAAATAATAAAAAAAAAAAACACAAATACATAAATAAATAAACAATAATAAATATTTTCAGGAATAAATAAATATTTTTTAAATCTCTCCGATATTGACAGGAATTCAAAATTTCCAAATAATGCTACGATATTCCGAATCAATCGGTAATTGAAATGAAGTGAATAAAGAATTTGAGAATATTTCTTAAGGAATAAAATGTCGATGAAAACATTTATGCTTTACCTAAGTACGGCGAAGACAGCTGTTTATATGTACTACAATAGGTATAACGGTGCTGGACTGATACGTGATGCGTATAAATGAAAATATTATATTCTAGCTTTTATGCCTATCATCGAGAGATTGCGCATAAAATCTAAGAATTTCTTGTCAAAACGTTCTCTGAGCATTGCATATATCCTTGCTTAAAATTGAATGTCTGTCCACTTGTTGGTCCATCTGTCCTTCTATGCGAAAGTGTGGCGTGAACCTTCTTTCAGTTACAAAAATCCAGATATGAAATCCATCTTCAAATTGAACAAAAAACATCATTGAAAGCTCTTTGCGGGCGGGCTTTTATTGAAAATGTGGCAAATTGCTTGATGAACACATCTCAAGTATACGCTGAAGCTATTTTCAGAAGCGAGAAAAAATTTCATTTATTTTGTTTCTCATTATTTACAAATTACAAGACATCAAGCGATGAAAATGTCGTCGAGTAGACCATAGGCGATCCTATAGTACTGGCAGAGAACTAGAGGAAAAAGTCGGTCGCACTCAGCCAAGAGTAGTATATCGAAATATCATATTTTCGTTTTTTTTTTTGATAGAAGAAAAATCCTCGCAGCTGAGTATAATTTTCTCATTTGTGGTCAGTCTTGTCTACGAACACGCTATCGATTTGTACCCCCGAATATTACCCAACGGAAACGATTGAAAATGTAAATAGAGTTCACTTTTGGCGGATTTTCAAAGTTTTTCATAGCGGAAGTATTTGCATGCAAATACTCTCAGGCATAGGAAATAAAGTAACATAAGTAACTCAATAATGGGAGAAATCGCGACATCGTATTAAAACGAATTTGCATTAAAAATACAAAGATAGTTAGTTCAGAGAACATTGTCTCAATCAAATTTTTATCATTCATTATGGGGCCCCGAATAATCACCTCTCGAAACCCCTTTCCGAAACGAAATTCTCAACGGTCGCCAGGAATCTTCTCTCTAGCCACGACATTCTTTACTTCTGCTATTTTATAAAAAACAATCAGGAGACGGGCAAGGCAAAAGCTACCAATACGCGAGAAGCCGTCATTGAAATGTAGCGCACCAGAGTCGTCTTTTTCGTAAAAAGGTCTTTTTCTTATTCAGCGTAGAAGCCCGCAAGGAGCTTGAATGAGAAGTGCGTAGCCAGCAGTATTTGGGGAGAAAAATTTCAACTAAATACTGCTTCTACGTTCTTATTGTACAGAAAAGTAGACAAAGTCCGTGTCGGAGGTGATATATGCATATTTGCATATAAGCAAAAAAGCAACAAAAAAAAAAAAAAGAAAAAAAAGGAGTTTATGATGTTCAAATGACTTTGACCGACTATGCTGCCGAATAGAACGATTTTTTAAGTCTCGATATACTAAGTCTCCAGAAGAGTTGGATTTATCAGAAATCACTATAGTACCCAAATTATGGAAAGTCGGCCGTACTAAAATGGCCTTCAAAAAAATTGTCTGTGTTATGGAATAAAAATGGGATCGGGAATATTTTGAGATGTTGAAAATACAACCCTGTAATTTTAATTCCGAGTCCGTTTGTCATTTTTCAAGTTCAAGAAAATAAGATCAGTTCGGTCAATGAATACTCAAATATCAGTCAACTGTTCTATTCTTGCACAGAGGTTGCTTGGGGAATTATACACTAGAATCCGATCTATATAATTTGTAAGAGTTTTGCGTCTATCTAAGCCAAATAGGGGACGATCTTTGCCACATTGAAATGTTAAAATGAATCAAAGACCATTGTACGGAGATCATTTCGAAAAAATAAAGCAAACGACTATGTATATGTGAAGCGAAAAATATTCAAGTGCACGCGTTTAGTGAGCAAGCGTTAAATAATCAACATAAACCATTTATAAAAGTTTTCTACCGTACTTCGCTTTAACTGTTAACACGAACCACTTTAAAAGAAGTAAATAAAATGATTACATAATAACGAGTATTGTGTTTTTATTTGTAAGACATAAGAAATTAGAGCCAAATTTGAGCCAAGCTGACCATGCTGACCACAATACTAACAACGCAGAGTTAAGGAAAAGTAAAAACCACTTTATCTTTATGTCTGTGCGCTCTCAGTCTTGATTTCAAAACTGTCGACACCGGTGTCTTCTCTCTATTTAGATGATTGCCAAACAAAGCTCTAATCACATTGCTGATGGAGGTACATATTTCACGACGCGATTCGCGATTCATTACAATGTTATATCTCATCGGATTCTTTGTATTGTTGCGGTATTAAAAACAAGAAAACAAAAAACAGTTGGCTGACATGAAGACAGAGAGATAGGGATATAGATGGGTAGATATATGTAAAGAGACATATATTTACATCGATAGATAGGGAAAGAGAGAGAGAGAGAGAGAGAGGGAAAGGCAATTTGTGGATATGCAAAAATTTCATGAGACTTTAATTTGCAATGAATAACTTGATACCCCATTGTAACTATGAAAATTTCCGAGAAAATTTCCATTTACATAGGTAAGTAAATTTATACGTATGCTCTCCATATCCGTATCGTAGCGCATGTTGCTGCAAGTTTTCAAAGTATTTCAAAATTGATAGTAACACGAGCATGTTTAACTCTTAGTCTTTATCTATATTCAGTGGAGGACTGAGGTATATCAAATTTATGATTAACTTTGTAACTTCAGTCCAGGACGTCTTTCCGTTCGATTAGAAATATATTCAAAAACTCATGACGAGATCCCGAGCGAATTTTTTCGAATTGCGATTTTTACTCCCTTTTTAGAAAAGTGAATTTTAATCATATTGCGGACTGTATTGAAACAGATGAAGACAACGGGCATGGTTGATTTAGTCGCAAAATCGGGAATAACTCGTATTTCTAATAATGTCATAGTCATCAAAAGTTTGGCATAAATATATGGAATTAGGGCCACGCAAAACTATAGTGTAAAAAATGTAACGATGCTTGACTTACTAAGCCCGTGGGCCCGGAATACGCCCGCCATTATTGTGAGTAGAAACCCAAGGAAAAAAATAATGAGACATTTACATGAGTTGGTGAGTATTCAAAATTCGCCCCAAAGCGATAATACGTTTCTTATATGTTGTATAACAAACTGGCCTGACACATGAAGGAAGTCAAACCAAATTCAGTTTGTATAAATAACGCTAACAGTTAACTCATTGATAACGAAACCTCTTTCAAGGCGATTATAAAGCAAAATTAAAATGAAAAAAATTCAACATAAACATTTACTTATTGTAATATTTTGGGCCCTTTTAACGAAAACAAGTCTTACCCTTCCAGCGCGTTCTCCCAATTCAATAAACACCCAATCCGAAGGATTTCGAGTGAGCTGAGAATTAAAAAAGCAAAAAAAAAAAAAAGAAAACAAATATAAAAAAAGAATTTTGTTGTTTTTTTTTTTTTTGTGTTCATTCTGCGTAGATATCACTACTTCAGCCCGCTGAGAAGACTCGAGAGTCTGTTAAATTTGAAACCGAAGATATAGTGTCGAAAGTGTTGAGTATTTACGATGGAGCGCAAAAAAAACTGATCGACAATTCCGAGGTATTGGATTAAAAATTGAAATTTTGTGTTCTTGTGTTGTATTCAGATGTGCCTTTGATTATTTATTCGTAAGCGACTACCTGTTTTGGATACCATCAAGGAAAACGAGAAGTATGGCAATAATGGCGATAAATTCGATGGCATTTCAAGGACGATCGTTAATGGTTATGAGGCATTTTCGAATTTTTTAAATACCTTAATCGAGGTAAAAATAACCAGTATTTATTCCCATCTCATATCATATCATATAGGTATATACTATGCAATATAATAATCGAAGTGAAAAAAATCTACTGTAGGAAACTGTTATATATCCTCGAACGTTTCTGTTTGTAACACGAAGTCTTACATTTTAGTTCAGGTTTATTCCTTTATTGTACATGCACCTGGAAAATCCATTTTGCCAGATGTCATGGGATGAAAACGCCTTTTTTTTAAAGGAGTTTTCGTCTTAAGTAAACCTGATCGTGAGTTCATCTTCTCTCTTAAGATAATTCGCTTAGGATCTCTTTGCGAATGAATTTAAGAAAACTAAATCGAAACGCGATGATTTCACTGCTCGAACTATTGCAATGAAATACATTTGGATAGCTTCCGCTTTCCTGATGTCTTCGGCGTTTTTGCAAATTATGTCGTCGCATTTTTTGTGATTTCTTGCAAAGTTAAAATTTTATTAAAAATTTTCCCTGTAACAAGTGAAACGTCATAGTGGGCCACGGTCCGCCATTAAATACCCTACACCATACCTCGACAGCTGATCAAAGCACGTCAGCATTCTGAATTTCATGAAAATGTCGCAAAATTTTGCGGGCCGTACGTTGATCAAAAGAATACACGACGGACAGATGGACAGACAAGCTTAAGTCGATTCCGAAAATAATTCTGAATAGAACGGTATAATAGAAGCAGGGTCTACTTCAACCATCAGTGGCAACCGCTTTACGTGCCTTAATCGAAACTTACAATAATAGCAACTCTGGGGAGATTGTACTGGCGAGTGCGTGCGACGAAGGCGCTAAAATTACTATTTTCAACAATGAACTATTTTCAGCAATGAATTGATATCAAATCGATTACCTGTTGTTTACGGGAACTGAACATATTCTTTTAGATCGTTCGGTGATTGTTAAGGCAGGTTGAAAATTTTGGATATAATTAACGTAGGATTTTAGATACAGTGGTGTAATATGCCGGATGATATCTTGTTTAACAAAACTATTATTATATTACCTACGAATTGATCCCTAAACTATCCACAAATGCCTCACTACAAACAAGATGAGTAAGGTAGTTTCTAAGAAAAAAAAAAAAACACCGATCGATAGAACTGTTTATGTGGAAGACTTAAACCTTCATTTAATTTTCAGAAACCGAAGGAAATCGTGCGTTCCGTGTCGAAAGGAATTACAACTCAACTGGACGTTATTGGTGGTAAACTTATTGGACTTTGAATCTCACATATACGTTTAGAGAAATGAAAAATTGTTTTTAATAAGTTTTTAAGTATTTTTAATGTTTATGCAAAAAATGAACAAAAATAAAAAAAAAAAGTATTACACAAACAATTTAAGAGTTTAGGAAGAGGTAAAATTCGAGGCAAAGGAAGGCACACATCTCCATGTATTCCCGTGTCTGTTGAGTGCAAAGTTATGGAACAATTAAAGGTTTTCCCAAATTAAAATTAACAGCAATTTGACCATTTTCCCAGGCGAACCTATAGTGTTACGCGCAATGCTCTCTTCCTAGTCAACTTTGTCGCGCTTCAGTTATTCTCAATCCGAATAAGGTTCATTTTCATTCTTTATTCACTCAACATTTTCTTACGTTTTAATAACTAATTAACTTTTCATTCGAACATTGGAAGCGTAAACAAGGGCAACTACATTTCACATGCATTCATATGCGATACGTAAATTAGTTCTCATAAATTCAGCAGCCATTCTTGTAAAAATAATGCAAACTTTATTGAAAAAAGCTGACTGCTGCAACTAAGCGTAATTGTGCTATTGCGAAGCTTTAATTTTTATTCCAAATTGCTTATCGGTCTTGCACGATTTAGTTTAGTATTCGCTAGACGCCCAACACAAAAACTCCTTACATGCGTTTTGAAGGAATAGAAAAATACATTAAATTAAAAGAAGAATATTTTAGAGAACACAACATTAAAAAAATTAAGCTATAGCCGGGCAAGGACGACCTGTGAATACCCTACACCGCTTCGGTTAATTTGATTGGCATGCATCAACAATTATGCATTATTTTTAAATAAACACAGAATTTTCATGAAAGCCCCCATACTGACGGAAAGTCAAACGTCAACGTAATCTAAATTTAGAAAACTTAATTTACTTGCCACAAATTCGGCTTTATCGATCTTTAGAGGGGTTTGCTTTCATGACAGCTCTCGCGTATGGTGCGGACTAAAAAATAGATCTATGTGATCCAAATCGTCTGTGGCTGATTTACTAAGCATAAATTTTTATCATAAAATAAATATTAAAAATTGGATCTTTTTGGCACATAAATCCATATATGGCTTGGGATCCAAACATTGAACTACGTGTTTCATGTCAAATTGTAATTATGAACGAACTTTCATTGAGAAGTAGTGAAAATTAGCCCTGTTGACCACGCAGACATACAGTTTCCGTAGGAACGGTTATGTTATGGCAATGGGTTCAAAAAATTGCCATGTTGAGATAAGCGATTGTCATTGCGAGATTCCAAAAATTAATGTAATACGTTTTCTTTTAACGACTTACCAAATTATGCCGTTATATCGCGAGGGGCCGCAACAGTATTCGGATCGGAGCCATTTTCAACAGCGTCCACCCTTGGGCCGAAACATGTCATTGTACCAACTTTCATTAAAATATCTTGAAAATTTGTGGCCTGTAGATTAGGCACATGGACGGACATCAGACTGACAGAGTGACAGGTAGTGACGACCTCATTCATCACTTACTTTCGTATACAGTGTAACGAGTTTCCTTAGGCAGGGTATGACTCAGCCAATCCAGGATCCGTTGCAAGAAAATTTTAATAAAATAATCAGGACCTTCGCGGGGAGTGGTGTTATGATTGCTTAACTTTATTGGTACAGGGAAGTTTGTAGATAATGGCTGGGGCAAGGAGAAGGAACCAGCGAGGTGACCCGACTTGTCGTACTGTTACTGGCTTGTTTCGTTTTCCTCGTTTTACTTGTACGTTTTACGTTTTTAATATCGCGAGCACTGCAAGAAAGAACCGAAAACTTCGCGAGTGTCATAGCTGCCTTGGTTCATCCCGGGTTGATATGTGAGTCCAACAATAGTAAGCTACAAGGAAAACGTCTCTCAGTTTTTCAGGGATGGCGATTAAAGCTGAACCAGCTCATCCCCTATCCGTAAGTCATTGGTCCTAAAAAGTCCTTCAGGGATGGCGATTAAAGCTGAACCAGCTCATCCCC